GCTTCCCTGACGTGGCGCGCAGGGCCCGGAAGCCGTCGCTTCCGTAAGCATTGTGCATTATACACTGGCCCCGGGTGCAACCAGACCTCACCTCGTCTGGATGAGTGGTGTTTAAAAAGGGGGTATGTGGGGGGTAACTCCTCAGCAGTTGCAGATCTTGTACTTCCACTGCTGCAGATGGCAGAAGATGCTTCTCCCTTTCCATCTGGTATCAAATATCTGGTTTGGCTCTTTTTCAGATGCAGTTGTACTTCAGTAGCGTACCAAGTTACAACCTGCTTAGTTTTTCCCAGTTCAGAGCTAAACATACTGAACTCCTTTAGGCAGGGTAAAGATCTGCTGCTGCAGAGGACTGGATTTGTATTTTAAAACTAAAGTGTCCCTTAAACAGGGGTGTTGAGTGCTGAGCAAGTGGGCCAACAAAAGCAACGAGCACTTTGCGGTGCAACAGTATACTTGTTTCAGGGCTTGGTGGCTATAAATCATCCTGGGCAACTGCAATAAAAAGGCAAAAATATAGGATGTATAGTTGTAGTATTGGAGCGAGTGTCATAAATTAAGGTGATTATTTTTCAGCTGGTGTGCATTTCTGTGTTCTCCTCATCTCCTCTTGTTTTGCCCATGGGGCTTTACAGAAGCCCCTTAGGAGGTTGGGTTTTTTTTTTCCGTATGACATACACAGTATGGCTGAAGCTGCCGGTTCTCCTTGTCAGATGAGCAATACTTCATGAAAGGGAAGTTACAAAAGCTTTGTAATGAGTGCAAATAGGTTTCATATTTTTATTCTGTTTTTGCCAGTGATCTGTCACTTTTGATTGAGGCCTGTATTGCTCACTGAGTCACTAGTGAATTTTAGATGCTTTTAAGATTACTTCCTTCAATCTTAGTGATTTTTTTTTTTTTTTTTTCATCTTGAATCTGTTGAATAATTATGCTGGCAACCTTGAGATTTTCGTTTTAGCTTTTGTAGTCTGAATTTCAGAACTCTGTATGAATTTATTGATGGTTTCATGGTGTTCAGCTGTGTCCCTTGCAGGCTACAGTGTCTGTCTGATACTGCCTTTAGAGGTGACTTGGGTCTGGGCTCTGACAAGTGCTTGGGCTGGATGAAGGCCAAAGTCATCCAGGCAAAGCCTGCTGTAGTTTAGTCAGCACAGAGAGAGAAATGTGAAGTTAAAGTTGCTGTTTGCAGGGTGTGCAAGAAATCAGGATGTTTATAATGCAGAGCTATTAATGTGAAAGCAGAGTCCAGGACTTTCAAAGAGTGTGATTTGACAAACTCAGACAAATTTAGTCACGCCCCTGCTTTTTAAGAAGAGGTCCATAATAAATCTGACATTCTTATGTATTAGTCTAAAAGTCTGTAGGTGACGCTGGATGTCGTATTATGAATGTTCATGATGTGTGGGTTGCTGTTGGGGTAGCCACTCCTGTCAGTAGCTGGGCCATGCTTTTGCATAGGAGAAAATCTGTATGTAATAATTCCTGTTTGTCTCCCCACATTTGCTGCAGAATTTGCTGGACGTTAGGGTTGCTACCAGACTTTTGGTTTGACTTTGCTAAAATCGGACATGATGTTAGGTGTAGACTCATCCCTGCCCTGATTTGATTTACTTCCTCTGAGTGCATGAGCGGTGTCAGGTTTGTCACCAATGCCACCAACAGAATATCAAAAACATTCATTTGGGTTAAGTAACTGTATCAAAGCGTGGTAGAAATGAGGTTATGAAGGGCACAGGCTGATCGCTTAATGACCAACATGATTATAGTAGAGTACCTTTCTGTTGAGTTGGAGAACACCCTCCAGAGGCTTGTATGCAGCCTCAAAGGGGTAGAGTTTGGAAACACTGAGATAGGATATTGGACTATCCTATATATAGGATATAGGATATGCAGCTGGGGGACTGTTTCTGCTCTTTGTCAGATGAGGACTTTCCTGGGCACCCGTGAGTATTCAGGAGCTCTGACCTATCCTTCCACAGACTCTAGTGGTCCTGTTTTGTTGAAGTGCCCAAGGGAGATGGATGACGAGTAAGAACATGTTAAGTCTTTCTTAACCACCCTTACCGGAGGAAGCGAAGTAAACTTTATTTGATGGAAGTGATTGGTTCATGCTTAATCATTATCTCAGTGCTGTTCTTATCACTGATACCATCAGAGACCATTGCTTACTGTTTTGTCCAGATCATTGCCCTGAGAATTTTTTTCTCTTTGTGTATTTCTTGTCACCCATAGTCTTATTTTAGTGTGAGTTCAAAAACCCTTTAGGGAAAGATGGCCTGTTCCTTACCAACTGCCTTTGTCTAGCACAAATGAGCTGGTGTTTTTGTTGGGAACCACAATGAAAATAACTATGTAATCATCTAAATAGCACCCAGACACCATTGAGAACATGTTTAAAAATGTAACAGTCAATTTACTTAAAGTATTTGATGCAGAATATCAGACTTTAAGGTAGGAACTACCGGCAGCCTTCTGACATACAAGCTGAGGTTACTAAGAAGCCAGGAGCCAGGCTCATAATGGGGAAGTATGGGAGGATGAGACAGTGGATTTTAAGTTGAAAGAGCAGATTCTGACATGATGGCAGGAGGGGAAAGACTGTTCCCTGTGAAGATGGTCAGGCATTGAAAGAAGAGCTTGGAAAGGCAGCGGAGCCACTAAAGTTGGAGGTTTTCAAGAGCCAACTGCACAAAGCCCTGAGCAACACAGTCTGAATTTGATGCTGACCCTGCTTTGAGCAGGAGGGTGAACTGGAAACCTCCTGAGGTCCTTTCCAGCCTCAACGTTGCTGTAATTCTTTGTTTTGATATGATAAAAATTAGTAGCTTTAAAATACTAGTGTTCTGGGTGGGATAACATTGTTTTGACTTCTTGCAAAGATTTCAGTAGGGTATGTGCTGATGGCAGAATTTGATATGTTAAAAAAAAGTTTAAAAGCTATTTAAAAGGATCCAGAATATATTGTTTCTCATTTGTATTGAAAGATACTTAATGCTGAAGGGCCATGTGGCCATGGAAAGAAGTTCATGAATAAAAAATATGCTTGTTCCAGATGTAAGCTATTGTTAGTCAAAGATACTAAATGAAAACGCATTTTTACTCTTACATGTCTTAAAGGTTTGCAAATTGGCTTTGTATGAGGAGGTGAAGGACTGCAAAGCTGAAGTAGAATAGAGAAACTCCATGGATTGGCACTTAAAACTGAAATGTGTTATAGATGTGATCTATCATTTACTAGGATTTTACACAAAGTGAAATTAATTTACTGCAGTTGGTATTGGGATCTGGGGAACTGGTGAGCCTTGTTCTCAGGGAGGCCTTAGGATGACTTGCTAAACTTCCTCCCCCCCCCCCCTTCCATTTGTCAAATCAATATCATACTTGTTCCAGTACTGTGCTTTCTTACCCTTAGCATACATCTTAGAGCATGTTTATATAGTGGGTGTCATAAATGATATCAAACATTGCAGGTAAATCAGAATGCTGCCTGGCAGGGATTCTGCCTAGTATTTGCCCAGTGGCAGGGCCGTGGGGTTTCTTTTTGGACAAACTGCTTCAGGTCGGCAAGTGTGGTTGAAGTCCCTTGAAAAGGCTTGTGGTAGCGCATGCCTACACCCTGGAGCCTGCTGTTGTTTGGCTCCGTAAGTGACGGCACCCCGCGATGATGAGAGGGGATGGATTTTGGGCGCAAGCACGGAGGTCCGCTCTAGGCATGCGAGCGTGGGTGTGTTTTGCAGCTTTTGTCCACAGTAGAGCTGATTACCTTGAAATTCAAGCAATGAATTGAAAAGAGAGCAGCGCTTTGCGCAAAACCAACCCTTCACTCTTTCTGCCATGGGCATTTTTACCCTCTGAGAAGTTTTTTCTGTTGTTACAAGTAATTTTTCAGGCTGAAGTTGTCTGTGTTGCAAGAATTAAAAACTCAGATCACTTAAATAGATGATATTTGCACAACAGGGAGCTGCAATAGTCATAAGAAGTAATCTGCCTGCCTACCAGTTTGAGTCTAGGGACAATGCAGTAAAATGGGAGAGAATGTAGATAAATGAACAACAGCAGTATTTAGTCATTGGGGCTATTTGTGGTGGGGTTTTGTAGAAGGTGGGTGTTGTGAACTTAATTTTTGGCCTAGTGACTGTATATTTTGGCTTTTGTTTTAACTGGTGAGGATTTAAGATGTACAGCACTGCAAGGCTCCTAGTCCTCCCATACACCAGCTTGTGCTTGGTTTTCATTAGCCCTTTTCTTTCAGCTGAAGGTTTCAGCCAACCTACTCCTTTTTTGGCTTTTTTCTGTGTTTGGTTTTGTGTTTTTGAGGGTTGTGGCCTTTTTCCACAAGTTTGAGTGGTGAATATACTTACAGAAGGGAAAAGAAATTACACCTTTCTTTTTTTCTGGTTTTCTGTCTGTTTAGAAGTGCTAGTGAAAGTGTTGGCGTTTTGATTTTCTGTAGGCTTGACCTTGATATTATTGCAGTTTTTCATGTTACACTGGATGCTGTACTTAACAGTAAAAGGTTTCAGAAGCAGCAAAGTTTGGTGTAACACCAGGGTGACTAGCTGAGCAACGCCTTTTGGTTCCCTGCTGATGAGGAAAAATGACACAATGTGTTTGCTGCTGGTCAAATTCATTCATCAATAAAAAATAATCTGCACGACGGGGGGGGGGGGGGGGGGGCGGGAGGGGAAGAGCAAAACCCGCTTTTCTTAAATAAATCTATTTCCTCTCTTCCCACAAAAATAATAATTAAAGAAACACAGAGCACTTCTAAACGCAACTGCTAACCGAGGGTAGTGCCTGCACGAGGGTGTATTACCTGCCTGTGAAGCATAACAAGTTATGGAAGGCAGGGCCATTAGTTGCAATAGGGAATTAACTCCTACAGATGTGTTTACAGTCTTGCCGAGTCAAGTCTCCTTATTTCATGTCCTGCTTAACAAGTGTGCTTCACGTTGAATTGTCCGGCTTTTATTTCATTGCTGTGTTCCCGTTTGCAGGCTGAAGCCAGACTCGCAGCAAAGCGAGCGGCGCGGGCAGAGGCACGAGAGATCCGAATGAAGGAATTGGAGAGGCAGCAGAAAGAGGTACAGTCAAGGCTGTGGGGGGTGTTTTGATCATCTTCTTTCCTGAATATAATCTGGGATCCTGGAACAAAGGGTTAATCTAAATTTTGTTGAAACATTAATAGTCTGCTTGGAGCTAAAGTTGTATCATAAAATAGCCTGGAAAAAAGATGGTTTGCGGCAAGAATTTTATCTGGGTGAAGCAAGTATAATTATTCATGGAAAATACTGGTGATTACTTAGTAATCATTGTTTAATATTAAACTCTGAAATATGCAGCTTGTTTGTGTGTGCATTGGGGTGGTGGATTCTTATCACTTGCTTAGAAATCTAATAAATATGGAAGACTCTTGGCACTTGTATAACTCTACTTGTATGCTGTTTCGCTTCATCTCTGTGAAGCTGGCATTGTGGTCCTCCCCCGTTTTATAAAAACGGTCTTCTGCTGTTGGTAGAAGTGATGATGGAGACTGGATTTGGCAAAACATTAGCTTTGCCAGAGTGTTTGGATTAAATGCATGCTGTATTCTCTCCCAAATTCTGGAAGATCTAGTTGTTTTATATCCTCAGCAACGCTACTGTGCCTCTGCTTGTCAGTGTGTGGGAGATCATGGGCTTCCAGTGTAGGAATGATCTTTAAGACCAAAAAGGCTTGTTCTGTTCCTGCTCTGTTTGACAAGTAGGAACTGCACTAAATGTCACTTTGTCTCCAGGAAACTGAGAGCAGCATTTGTTTTGAAGCTCTAGAAGCTGAACTAGTGCTATTAGAATGGGGCTGCATTGGTTCAGCACAGGTGGACTGAACCAGAAGGGCTTAAAACTTGTGTTTGTTGATGTGCATTTAATGAAACAGCAGAGTAGACATAACAGCGTCAACAGTAATCATAATTTATTTTTTCTAAGTAGATTTTGAAGGAAGGGGAAGAAACAAGGAATTTGGGGGCAAGGCGTGGGAATACCTAGTGAAAATACATGTACATCTGTCCTTCAGGGTGCAGAGGAGGATTCAGTTTAGCTTTTAGACAGTGAACCAGGGTGTGATGGCAGACTAGTATCAGTGCAGGCTGCAGCAATCAGTGTGCAAAAGCAGCACTCGGGCAGTTTGCCCACGCTCAGCTTCGTGCTGGAGCGTCTCATCTAGTTGAGGCACGTCTGGATGTGTCGTAGCACCCTGTAGCTGCAGCGGGGTTAGATGTACCTGCAAACACAACGGCAGTAAGAGCTGCGGGGGAGCGTTGCTGCAAGCACAGTGCCTCTGGAAGAGAGGAGCCTTTCTGCTACAGTTGCTGAGTTTGAAGGATGTTTCCTGAGTGATGGGACTTGCGGAGCAGCCTCTGGAAGATCCGTGGTAAACAACCACCGGGTGTTCTGTTTGGGGAGCAAAGTAAATAGGGGTGTCATGGCAGCTGACAGTGGTGTTACCATCTAATTTGCAGATAACTTTAATGGAGCTGATGACCCCTTTGAAGATTAAAAGCTGATGCTGCAAAGGGTGTCCTTGTAAATTGAAATTTGGGTATGGAAACTAAAGCCTTGTGTGTGTGCTCCTGCAGTTGGTAACAAAGAGCTAGTGATCTGAAAATCTGTGAGAACGTAGTTGTACAGATAGAAATTGAATAGTACAGGATGTCGCTCCGAAATACCAAATTCAGTGAAAGCTAAGCCAGATAGCCACTACAGTCTGTTTGGTAATTCACTGGCATTAATTACATACTGTTACTAAACATTTATTTAATATTTTGCAAGATTAGATATTTTGCAGCTTTTTCAAATAGCTTAATCTCAGCCCTCAGATGCAAGGTTGAGCTAGTAAGGATGGCTGCAGGAGGCTTTTCGTTGCCACAAGTATCTTGCAGATATAATAAAAGAAAACACACATATAGAAAATCCCGAGCAGCGATCGACACAAGATTTGGCGCTTACACCCTCCTTGGAGGAGAACATGCTGTGATACTGGTGTCTGTACAGCTTGTTGTCTGCCATCTTCATTCTCATTCGCAAACTTCTCAGAGAAATAAATAGCACATTCACACTGTTGCCATGTTGAATAACCAGAACTTAAAGCAAGTGCTTTACTACTTCAGAAGGCTTTTTAGGGACAGTTATGGGAGTTAAAAACCAATAAATAAATTTATTGCATGTGTGTGTACTTGTTCATGCTTAAAGCAGTGCACATGCCCTGACAGGCTTCTTGTGGATCATACATTGCTTGAGAATACATTTACATTGTTGATCTGAGTTAAAAGTTTCCAGATGCTACCATTACAAGCTATAACTGTGGTGGTATAGTTCTCACTGGCAGTGAAGTAGGATGTTTTCATGATTTGGATTTTGGACTGGAGATTGTCATTAATCTAGTATCAATGACATTTCTTAATGTTTTACTTCATTTTCTTCATTCTAAAATAATTGGGTGACACTTGCATCATGAGTCTATGTAAGTGATTTAGCTAATGTTCTGCTTGCCATTACAGAAGAAATATCAATGCAAAAACACAAGGTCTCTGAGATTGTTGTTCTCTTATGAATGTTTCTGTAGGTAGAATGAGCAACAGCTTCATTAGAAAGCTATTAGAGCGCCCTGAGCTGGTTCTGTTGGCTTGGCCGTATGTGAAGAGCACACCAAAACTTAGTCACAACTTTACAGTAAACCTCACAGGTAAATGGTGAAGACTACACGATATCATACTGAGCTCTTCTTTTGGCAGAAATGATTTCAAGTCAAATGCATAGTGGACAGCAGAAATTGCTGCATAGTCTGTTCTTTTGGAAATTTAAAGTTGTATTCAGCAGCAGCTGCACTAGCGATCAGCTCCCGTCCTTTCGGAAGGAGCATGCGGTGAGAAGCTCGTGGCAGAGCTCTTGGTGGTAGGTGGTGCCCGGGCTGCCCTACCTCTTGCCAGTGGTCGCTGCTTTTCACCTCGTGGTTTCTGTGCTTGGAGGGGTGGCTTTACTAAGCTCAGTTTGAAATATACAGTGATTCTTAAGAATTCTTCTGGAAACTTAATGTGAAGCAACATACTGCTGTAGGAGAACAATAGTTGCGGAAATTATGTGGCAGGAGTAGATGGGCTTTTGGAGGAAAGCCACGCTGAATTGCAGTGTGAGATGTGGGAGAGCTAGTGTGGAAAGGCTGCTGCCGTTCGCTGTGGTGGGGCAGGATTGCAGGTGTGTTTCAGGGGCGGTATCGTCTCATCACCTGGCATCACCTCCTGCCAGGCAGCAGAGAGAAGGGTGAGTGTGCCAATGTTTTGGGGTTGGTGTTTTGTTTTTTTTCTGTGCTTTTTTGTTTGTTTGCCCCAGGGAGAGGAAGATAAGGAGGAGAGCAGGAGTACAAGATTAATAGGAAAGTATAAACTAGGTAAATGAAAAGTGTTTTCTGAAGCTGAAGAAGGAAAATGAGCACAAGAATTATGATCTGATATATGCTAATTTATGACGATAAGGGTAGTGATCACTCTTGAATCACATATATGTGTATATTTATGTGATTATATGTATTTATAATTATATATATATGTTTAGTAGAGAATGAGTGCCTGGTCATGAGGCTCTAAGAAAGACACAGATCTAATAAACATTGCTGCTTGAATGTTTCTGACTTCTGATTCTGTGATGCTTTGTTGTTGTTATCCACCAAAGACGTAAATTATTAATCTGGAGGTCAAGCATACCAGGTTTTCTGGTATGCTTCCATGCATAGGAATTCCGTCAGTACAGGAAAGCTCTCATGTGAGGCAGTGCCAATGCGTGTTCTTAGCTGCAGGGACAATTATAATAGAGGGTACTTGCTCCCTTTCCTGTTTCCATACCACTGGTACCCACCCAGCTGCTGGGAGTCAGAGCAGTGATGGGTCCTCTGTTTTGTACCACACCATGCTGCCATGGTCTTTAAACCATGTTTGCAACTGCAGACTCCAAGGCCAGTCCATTTGGCTTGTACAGTAGAGTTGTGGTTGGTACTAAGACAAATGCTTGTGCGCATTCAGATATTTATGTTTAATTCACACAGAAGAGCAAGTGAGGAATTGTCAGCTCAGTCTTTCTGTGTAACAAATTGATCTCATGGCGCTACCAGGTGAAAACGGAGAGAAGAATTTTCTTCAGTGTATTTTTTTTTCTTTTTAAAGCTTGGCATAAGATATATTAAAGCCTTTTTTCCACAAGAAATATTTAACAGTAGTGCTTCAAGACATGTAAAAGCTGCAGCATTAGGACTAATTGTAGAGAATGTTTTATGTAGGAGTACCTTCTGTGTGTTCTGCTGGCAAGACTTTAAATGTCTCTTCGAGGACTGACACTTGGAGACCACAATTTAAGCTGATATTAGTGCCTGAAGTGAAAAGAGAATGATCTCCTCCCACTCCTTAATCTGCAGGATAGGATTCTTCCTTGCCAGTTCACACAGCAGATGAGCCTGTACTTCTAGTTCAAGGCAAGTGCATTGTGCTTGTCTCCTAGCTTCATTTTCAGCTCTCACATTAAGGGCACAGCACAAAGCCTGCCTTTGCTATTTTGTAAATTTGTTCTTTACCAGCATACTCATTTGCACATACTTTTCCTCCTTTGGTTTCATATTTCTTTGGAATAAAATATATTACCAGTACTTTCTGTCATGAGTTTCTTTTTTTTTTTTTCCCATGTCTGTTCCTTGAACATGTAGTAAATTTAGTAAATGTACTAAATCCAAATTAATGCAGGCAAAAGACTTGGAAACACTATTTGCTCACCCATTCTGTTGACTTAGGCCCCTTCTTTCCTTCTAGGATTTGGTGCCCATGAGTCTGATCTGAGTCAGAGGGTCCCCTGGCACAGCTGGCATTTGGGATTGTTTGAAGCTGTTTAAAAACCCAGGCGGTGCAGGAAAAGCAGAATTCTTGTAGCTTGAATGGGAGGGGAGATACAGACGATGAAACTTGGTGCTTACATACACAGGGAAGAAATTAAGGAGCTTTGTGATGATTAATCTGTATCTTTCTTATAAAACCAGTGTGAAGATGCACAGGAAAATTTGAAGAGGGACAATGTTGAAGGTGTTTTTAGTAGGCCCTGGATTTCTGCCTTCTGCTGCCATCTGATCATGCTTCACTGGCTTTTTCTGTCCCACTCTAAAGTTACTTCTATGAAAAACTTTATTTTTGCGGGAAACCTCACGTAATGCAGAAACCGAGAAAGCAGTCTACCAGTAATAGTGTGGACAACACACTTAACACTTCTTTTTTTTTTTTTTTTTTTTTTTTTTTTGCCATACCATAGTACGAGGAAGTGCTATTTAAGGCATTTGACTGCTTAGATGTCTGTTGACTCTTTTAAACTCTTTGTGGGGTGCATAACTGCAATAGAGATTGTTTTGTAAAAGTATTTCTCTTGTAACATACTCTCTAAGGAGAGCAGTACACTGGTGAGAGAGCAGTCACTTCGGAGCAGAGCTGTTGTAATGCCTGGTAGCTAATGGATGACCAAAAAATTCCAGGTTCTATAAAACACTGGAGCAGTTATGATGACGCACTTGGCTTTGTCCTTGTGCCCTTCTCCACTGTCCTCCATGGTGTCTGGCCCTGAACAAAGGCCTCGTTGTTATCTTATCCATTGGCAATCTGGGTCCTGGACACAAGACTTCTTGTGTGTCTCACTTTGTACTCAACGGGGATACCTGCTATGCCAAGCCTGAAGCGTTGGGGTTTGAAAAACCAGGCTGCTGTGGTCTTGCTTCAAAGCGTGGGTGAAGCAGCGGCATTGAAAGTTAAAGCTTAAAGGTTAAACAGCTACATGGTAATTGCCACATCTAAAACGGTGGCGTTTGGCTTCTGTGTATGGATGAAAGGCTCTCTGCATGTGCAACAGAGAAGCAAAAGATCAGAGTCAGCATGCAGTCTTGGGAACTATGGGAGGGTTTAGTTAATTTTCCTCTTCAGGGTTTTCTGTGTAAAAAGTAAGCAAGGTGATTAGTTGTGTGGGAATGCCGGTTTTAAATGTGGGTCCTAATTTTCCCCCCTGTGCTTGTAGGAATAGGAATTAATACTTCTGAGGTATTAAGATGGGGTCTGCAGTTGTCCTTCATCATCACGAAGGGAAGCCTGATCGGGAGGACAGGGACTGAAAGAAGGATGCTCTGCTTCCCAGCCTTGGGATCTGGGTTCTCCTGATCTGGCACAGAAGAGCAATGAATGACAGGGATTCCCTGAATATTCCAAAATGCAGGAGACTGACTACCCTCCTGCCTGCTGACCGGCTGAAGGATTGGAGTCAGAGCTGCCTACCGTTCCCCCTGGGTTGTACTCCTAGAGCAGAGGGCTGGTGTTGGTGTTTATTCAGCATCAGTGCTTATCTAGGAAGATAAACAGTAAGGCAGCTGAGGGCTTTCAGACCAGAGCTGTGTTACCTTTCCTATGGATACAAAGCTGGGTGTTCATCAGAGAAGCTGGGAGAATGAAGCTGCAATTTCCTTCTGGATTTGTGTAGCCAGCTAGGTGGTTTTGAACAAGAAGGGTTCCTTGCTTTAGAAATGCTAGGAGATAGGAAAGAAGAAACATATTTTCTGTTTTCATGTGGATTTACAAAGCTGATCCGTCAAGGGCAGTTCTCCACTTCAACAAAATTCAGATGTATTAAGGTGGCTGTAATGCTTTTGTGTATTATTAAAATGGTTCAAGACTATGGAACAACTTTGTAGAGTCAGCAGTGCATTTGTTAGGGCCTGCAGATGGTGTGAGGCTCTGTGGAAACATTAAAAATTGAAAAAGCAACCTGCAGAGAGATCCTCCAATACTGGCAGCATATGTGCGAGAAATTTTCAGAGAGTTTTAACAAGCTGACGCACTGCTGTACAGAGGTGAAAGATGTATAGCATTGATGCTTTTGTAACTATGCTTCATCAGTTAAGGACAAAATTTGCTTTTAGAAGAACAGATTTTCTGTAATCAATGCCATTTGCTTTTATTGTGATAGTAGATGCACAGCTGTCACCCCAGGTGAATATTTGGGCATCCATTACTTGAAAGGAGGGAGGCTGGCAAAGCAAGAGGTCCCAGCTCAGAGCTGGGTTAGGCTCCGATCTGGTGCAGGGTCTAGGGAGCAGATGTTGCCTCCAAGAGCCTGGGGAGTATGAAAACAGGAACACTGTGTTTCAGCTGTTCACATGGAGGAGGACTCGAATGTAAGCGCTACTTTCATTCTTACCTCTACAGGGCTTCGATGTGCAATTTTTATATTCATGTTTTGCTGTATATTCTGTATAATTTATTTTTTTTTCTCCCCTTTAGAATGAATTATGGAACATTGCATTGGTATTTATTCATTCACACTAGTTTTTGTTTCCTTGTTTCTTTCCCTTTTCCCCTAGATCTATCAAGTTCAGAAGGTAGGGCTTGCTTTCTTTCATTCTTGTTTGCATGTGTTCCCATGTTATTAATCTTGCTAACATTTCTGGAAAACCTCTAAAGAAGGGAAGATGCACAGCAGCTTTCGTATTTCCATGCAATTTCCCCCTTTCCTCCCATAGTCTTGTGAGGTGGATAATAAAAGGGAGTGAGGAAAGATGACCCGTGTAAAATGTGTCTGGTCAGGCACTTAATATAATTTTTTCTACAGACCATTTGGCAAAGAATAAGCAATGAGCAGAAGTGTGATTTGGCAAAGTAGTCATCATGGGAGGGTAGGGTGGCTCCACGTGTCACCAAGAACCATACAGACATTTGTGTGTTAGAGGGCCAAGAGTATTGCTGAAAATATTCCAGGCTGGGCAAGCGTTTAACAGGTGCAGCAGGAAGAATGACTTTCAGATGACTTTGCAGAAAGTCACTGAAGTAAATCAGGGATGCTGCATTTGAATTTATAATCTTTGGGTAAATAAATGGTATGGCCTTTCTTCCAGTGTGATCTAAGCATTATCAATGCTTTTATATTGTTTAATCCCCTGTCACCTCAGTTTAAAGTCATGATCTCTTCCCCCCTCCCAGTTTCCTTTTCATAATTCCGAATGATGGCAAAGATGATGATAATAATAATAGCTCTAACTGAGGTCAATTTCTGTTGTAACATCAGAGTTTTGAGTTTTGTGTTACGTTGTTTGGCTGTTTTGTGTTTCCAGCATGTGAACTGTTCGGTACCTAGAAAGAGAAATAGCTCCAAAGAGATGTTGCAGGGAGGGAGAAAGCATGCATTTCTTCAAGCCTGCCATTTTATACCCTATTGAATATTTCTCTTTTTTTTTTTTTTTTTCTGAGAGATATTTATTGCTTGCTGAATGATAAATGTCTCCTAAAACCACAGCTTGTTTGTTTTAGTTCTGGCACTCCAGCTGACTTAACTACATGTTTCACTCGCTTGACCTAGCAGTGCTTGTGCTTCTTGGAAATGCTGTTCTCCTCTTGAAGCACATATATATGAAGATAGCTACTCAAATCATGTGCTCTGGTATTTAATCCTGACCCCATCAATTTGGCAACAAATGTATCTTACTCTTGTTTTTATTTGTGGAGTTGACTACATACTGAGTGACTCAAATTAACATCTGCCCATGGATCAACAGGCTCATTATCAATCTCCTTTATAGGAACTAATTTAATCTTCTGGTACAAATGCAGCCCCATGGGAGACAAGGAGGTTGTTTACTGTTGGTGATCTGACATGGATGAGGAGATAAGTGGGTTAGCCTCGCAACATCTTGTAGTGAGTTTGCAAGTCTAGCAGTTTCTCTGTCACGTAGTGAGCAAATCTGATACAGAATTCTCTCTCAATGGTATTAACGTCCTTAATTATTTAATTCTAATATCACTTTTCAGGGCAGAAGGGAACTTGAGTCTGGCAGAGGCCTTTAACTAAAAACCAAATGAATGGATAAGCACCATTTATTCCTTTAACCCATGCGGCCATTCAGATCAGGCCCCTTGGGGCAGAACAGAAGAGGAGTTGGCCTAGAGAAAGAAATGGGAAGTGGCTGAGGGGACAAAAGGCTTAAAATGCTGACAGTTCAGCCCAGTGTGAGATGAGCCATGTTAACGGTTATAAATTAAATATCATCTCAAGGCAATTGCACTCATTAACATTTTTCTTTTGGGGATATTAAGCATGTAGCTATGTAATTTTAAATGGTGGAGGAAAAGACAAGTGGAATTTACCTGGTGACATAACAAGTCTTTTAAGATATTTTCTTACCTCCCTTTTGCAAAACTGTAATCAGAAGCCTGTGTCAGGAAGTAAGGAGAACAGAGGTCAGGAAAAAGAAGCAGCAGATCATACAAAAATTACTAGCATGTTTATGGATCCTTCCTATGTGTGAGAAGGGATTTTCCATTTTCATAGTGGTTTTGTAAAAAATTATTTCTAGTGTTAGAAATTTTTTTTTGGAGGGGAGGAACTTCTAATAAGGCTTTATCTGACCTGACTTACTACAAAGCATATAATCTGTAGGTTCTGATCATGTACACAATCCTGACCAGCTGGTGTTCATACAGTTTTCAGGGTTTATTTTCAAGATGTGATATCCATAAAACTTAATTTTACAACAGGTTGTTATGTGTTAGACAGAAGTATAACACAGTAACTAGTGGACTAGTAACTGGAAGTAACTAGTCTGAGCACTTGTGAGGAAGTGTGTAATGCTTGAAGAAACAGCGGTTCATGTCAGGCACCCTAATTTCCTGTAGTTTAAGGGAGAAATTTCACTTGTGTGCAATTTGGCTAGGCATTGTATAGGTCTGTTAGATGTATTTGAGCACACACTGAGATGCTTTGCAGGGAAAGCAGAGGGAAATACTTCCCTGTTCTTATAGGGCTGTGGTTAAAGAGCTTGCTGAGCCGTTGTCTGTTTTCCTTGTTCCAAAGAGATGTTTTCACTGCATTGCAAATTTAAATAGTATGCGTTTATTTCCTGTTTTCAAGTTTCTGGCCTAAAAAATTTATTTTCTGATATTTTTCCTAATAAATGGGATTGCTGTGAGCTCTTGCCTCCTCCCAATTTGACCCCAAAACTGACAGCCTTTAAAGGTCCATGTACACTTCGGGCTATCTAGGATGCGTAATTGAGCACCCCGCTGTCTATTCTACTTCGTAACAGACTTTCTTTTCTCCAGAGCTGTTAAGATGAAAATAAAGATGACCTTAATATGCAGATAATTTTGTTATTTAATGAGGAAGAACTCTGAAGTGGGAATAAACTGATACAGTATCAAAGAACATGCGGCTGTTTTATTCTAGTTTATTAATAAATAGTAACTGAAGACTTTAAGGATGAAAGTGAAATTACATTAATACCATTGAAAGACTGCTAACAGGTTTTTGTGTTATTCTTTTTTTTTTTAACATTACCTAAGGTTTTGACTGTTAATACTCCTGCCTCCTCAGACCTCTGGGAAAGCTGCCAAGTACAGGCTTGTCTTTTCCCACAAATACGTGAATCTCAAAGCACATAATCTAAATTTTTCTGAAATACATATTATGCTTCCTTAAGCAGGATTTCCATTTGCCAATTACTGTCCTTCAGGCCAGTGATTTTTCTTCACACAGGAATGTTATGGTCACCATTATAAATATGAACTTCCTGAGACTAGATTTGAAGCACGTGTTTGGGGAGGAAGAAATGTCCTGATAAACTTGCGGATCTTTGAATAATTTGCTGTCTGGTGGAAATACAAGTTCATTGGGAAGTTCCCAGTATTGTGCAAAGAAATTAGGAGTTGAGGAATGGTTCAGAAAAGACGTTCTATTAAGAAAAAGCATGGCACTTGGTACTGAAATGCAGAGAGCTTTCCAGTTTTGCCTGCATTGGTGAAGCATGTCCTCTTTTGTCCTTGTCGGTGATACCACCACTGTCAAGATGGTTGAAGTGCTCTGAAAAGGTATTCTGGCGAGTCCTGAATACAGCAAGTAAGAATGCGCAGAAATTAGTTGTGTTGTATTCTATTTGTCTTCCCGGTTTGATAAATCTATACAGTAAACATGATTTGACAGCATTTTTCATCCTGAAAGTGTTCTGCGTTCGGATCCCTTGTAATGAGTCTTGACTTAAATGGGTCAGGAATTCAAGACTCATTACACGCCTTGTTCCTGTCCCCACAGCACTGGGGTTTTTTGCCCTGCTGAGAGAGAAGCAGCTGTTGAGTACCGTGGCCATACCCCAAACACCCCTTTCCCCTTGCTGGGCAGCTTTTCTGGGGCGTGGGCTCTGGTGGCATGCGGCACGGCTCTTCCCTGGCATGTGTGTGTGTTTGTGTCTGTGCGTGGAGCTGTGTGGCTCAGCCAAAACCTGCCAATGCATGCCTAAAGGTTCTGTGTTTGCCTTTCTCATCTAAATTCTGTTTTTTCCCTTTTCTGTCTGTAGAAATATTATGGTCTGGATACTAAATGGGGAGACATCGAGCAATGGATGGTAGGCCTTGATCAACATAGCTAAACAACTTCTACCTGTTGAAGTTTTGTATAGTTCATAGAGTTTGAAATCCCACACAGAAGGTATTTTCATGTATTGGAAACGCGAATTCCAGTCTTATCACAGAGATTCTTGCAGTCCGCATCAATACCTGAAATGTGGTTTATGTGCCAGCTTAAAACTGGCAAGGGTTTGGTTAGAGCCATCTCTTTTTACAGACCTCTGTCTCTACTCTATCACTTGAAGATTAGCTTAGCGTATAGACCTGTTAAAGCCACGTGTGATGCAGGGAATATATGTACTCATTTTACTTCTTGTGGATTTTGTTACAATTTGAGTCTTCTCAGCTCTGCCTTCAGGTAAATTTTGGGCAAGTTTTATCCATGCTTCTTCAGTTACCTTTGTACTTACTGGTCCAGGGGTGCTCTTCAGATGCATTATTACTGCTACTATGGCAATCCTCGCTTTTTCCAATAATACAATGTCTTGGATTTTACTATTTGCCAAGCCAGTGAAGTTGATACCACATACGGACTTGGCCATTAGCAACATCTGACTGAAATGAAGATGAAGAAAGTTGCTAAAGGGCTGGAAGACATTGGCTTCAAATGTCTTTCAAACATAAGTTTATGAAATCACTTACCAGTGATGCGGAATGAAAACTGTTGTTCATGGCCTTGCCATACAAGCTGAGTAGTGCACACTGGAGAAGGCAGAACTGAACAGCTGACTTCCAGTGTGGAAGACAACTTCTCAAACTCCCTGACTTTTTGACTCTTGATAATTAATTAGCATAAATACTGTTTTGCTCTATGCCTTTTTGAAAGCCTGCTGCCATATGGACCAACCGTCCACCAAGATGATCCAAACTCACAAATAAGCCATTGTGTCTCTTCAAATCCTTGCTTGGTGAGCTTAACTCCACCTTACTAGCAATCCCCTTGCTTCGAAATCAGTTCACCGGTGAGAACCATTAACTACAATGTTAAAACTTCCCTGCTCCCCGCCCCCCCCATTTTTTGTCATTGTTACTAAATTCCATGTAGAATCGGTTTATTAAAATCAGTTTGTTGAAATGTAATATATCCTACAGCATTTCCAGCATTAACACAGCTTTTGGTCTGCAAAAGGCAGTGGTGCTGTGTCACAGAGGCTGTAAGCAGAGCAAGCAGAGATGCTTTTGTTCTGGAAGAAGGGGCTGGGGGGGGTGTGTGCCCCTGGGATACCCATTATAGAGAGACCATTGCCCTGCCACATTATTTCAAATAGAAGATTTTTGAGATTTATTTTGAAGGACTGCAAACTGGAAAGCTTAATTACAAAAGCACTGTAAGTATTCCAGCACTGTAAGATTCCCAGATGCAGAGAGATGCAGTTGAAACTTTTTTTGAGACAGAAATAAAGGTGTCACTGTAGTTTTCTGCAAAAGTAGTAAGTGTGTAGCAGAATAAAATGGAAGGGAGGAAAGTTGGGCTCACAAATGAGGGGAAAAAGGGTTTTTCTGTCTTGACAGGGCGTCACTTTGCATTATTTGGTTTAATGTTACTGACTTCTAAACGTTGCTGAAGTTCACTGTTTCTTTCTGAAAGCGCTCTGTTGGTATATCTATCCTTTCAACACTTCATACTTTGTTTTTTCTCTGCTGCTTGATAGGAAGACAGTGAGCGCTATTCCCGTAGAGCCCGAAGAAATGCCTCGGTTAGTATATACTTTTGCTTTTTCTTGTTAGCTAGATGTTTCACATTAAGAAAACAGACATGTATAAGGCAGTTCCTTTTTAAAAGAGAAGACAAAACAAGCTCCCCCCACCCCAGCCAAGTGCAAACCCCAAAGCCACTTCCTGACTTCTGCCCTCTCCCCAGTCACGCTGGGGAGCTTTTGCAAATGTGCTAGAATAAAGGGGGGCAGGGGGTGGAAGGTGGGGAAATACTCCGCTTGGAATGTTGTAATGTTTGTTTGTTCAGACTGTGGGCTAAGAGCATAGAGCAGGGAATACCCGAGCAAGCTTGTCATTCATCCTGTAGTAAAATGCTTGACAGTGTTTCTTGGGCAGGGTATGATTTCATTTACTTTCTCTTACAGTTTTAATGTGATTCTTTTTAAAAGACATTTATTTTGTATGTCTCTTCTTTCCTTCTGTTCCATCAAAGCCATCAATATTTACCTCACTGGCTGTAAGTTGTGTTCTTTTCATTGTTTTCTTGTCTTTATACTTTCTTTTGATAGGCTTCGGATGAAGATGAGCGCATGTCAGTGGGTAGCCGTGGAAGCCTGAGGGTTGGTAAATTATACCATTTAAGTGTGCATGTGTGTGTACAGATGTTGCTGTCCCCCTGTACCACCAGCCTGGTTATAGGACTCTGATAATATCATCCTTCCAAGGTCTTGTCATGTTCCATGTTAAAGGCATGTGTGTTTTTTTTTTTGATGTTGGTTGGGTTTTTTTTTTTGTTCGTTTGTTTTGTTTTTCCAAGTACATGTAGGTCAATAATTCTTTCAACCAGGGGAACTGTCAAATCTGTATGCACTGTGCAGGAACACCAACAGAGCATTGGAGTCTATAGAAACCTTTCTGGTAAATGCTGTTCCCTGTTACTGTTGCAGAACTACTTAGCCAAAACATTGGTATGTGCAGCTATTGCAGCTATTTCTTGTATGCACCTTGTAAGCTCCCCTGTTGCATTACTGATACTGAGAATTTGTGAAGAGGAAGTGCTGCCTTACTCCATGATCAGCTTTTTAGCTCAGGAAACAAAAAGCAAATTGGCAGTGGAAATAAGTCTTAAGCACTTTAGAATTGCAGGTGAACATTCTCCTCAAAACTGCTTTAGAAATATTTGAAATTCATCTGCAGACTTGAGTTTTGTGGAGGGAGGGATTAATTGGAGCATAGAGAGCTGTAGTGCACCAGTACTTACCTGTAGGAAAAGCTGAAACAGTTTTCTCCTCATAATACCTGTACAGTATTTTTCCAGATAATACACGTGTACAAATCTCAACTCTGTTCTAGTGTAGACATAATCAGATCTTGTAATTGTGAAGACAGTTTAGTAGTTGTGAATGGGTAATGCTGTATTGGCATGTGTTGTTAGTCAGAGCTCACTGTTTCTGAGAGCTATGGAAGCATTCAGCTAATCAAAAAACTGAAACAATACATAACAGCGCTATGGAGGAAGCCCTCAGCAGTCCTGAACATGAATTGGCTGCAACTATTTTTTGTTATGGAGTCATTGTCCCTAAAACTCTTGTGTTTGGGAATAATTTGTTCTTCTACTGATGTTCCCAATATATCAGTAGCATCCGTTATGTGGGTTAAACTGGATGATCAGCTCTGGTTTTATGGAGCAAGCAAGACCTACATCATTCATTGCAAGATCTTTATGTGTAATCCTTGGTTTCTGACTTCTGTGGAGATTTCATGCCATAAATTTCCTTTTTTTCTCCTTAAAAAAACTTGCTAATACTTATCTAGGCTAGAACTACCTTTTTTTTTTTTTTTTTTTCCCTGACAAAGTATCCCCAAAAGAACAGGATTGAGTGGAATACCTCATATGCCTCAAAGCATCTGAAAGATATAAAAACCTCCATATTACTACTGCAGAGCCTGCTCAGTGATCCTAATGGAGTTTACTGTAAGATAACACAAGGTGTAGTTAAAAATTTTAAGTGTTGCCTTGTTCCTTTTTTAGCATAATCCTTACTGCTACTTATGAAATGCTGTTAAAATCTTTATGCTTTAAGACTGCAAATCAAATCTAGAAGATTAAAGCTCCAAAGATTCAATGAAGAAAAGCTTATCCTCACAGCTGAACATGAAAACCAATGTTTATTTTACTTAAATTTGGACACGTTTATTAAAGTGGTTTTTGGAGGGAAAAAAATCTCTAGATCCATTGACATTGCAATTCTTTCTGTTTAGAAGACGATTATGATACAAATGGGTTATTTAACCATGACTATAACTGTGTGTCCCTTGATGTTGCAAGATGGAAGCACCCTGGCACTGTATTTATAGCAGGAGCCCTGTTCATCTGAAAAACCTTTTGTTCATGGAAATCCACTACTGATTCCTTTTGATGTGTTTTTGTAATACGATCCTGTGTTTTACTGTTATAGATCTAAACAGCAGAAGCCTTGCATTCTGCTTCTCCCCCACCCATCCCTTGAGAAGAAGCTTTTCTGATTTTTTTTCCTGGGCTGCCAGCATGCCTTCAGGCTGGGATAACCACTGCTGCTCTGATGAACAACCGTCTTCAGCTGTTTCAGGGGATGGTCCATAAATACCTAATACTTCTGCAAAGAATGTTCTTTTCTGACAGAAGGATCTGGTTGAAACTTTTCACACTGCTATTTCTAGTGATGTTGCACAGGCTCCCCCCTGTCCTCATAAAGTAGCATTCAGTGAATATTCTTATGCAAGTTGACGCTTGGGCATGCACAGGAAAAGAGTTTTGACAGAACTTCCTTCCCTGATCCAAGTGTCACTGGGATTGTAGAAGAAAGTAAAAGTTAGCTAGTCTGAACTGCAATTTACCCTTCTACATATTTTAGTTGTTTCAATCACAATGAATTGATAGACCGTACATTGATCATTTTCCTAGTGTGGGTTTATAGTAGATGCTTTTAATAGTTTGACCACATCTCTCTCTGGATATTTGTGAAGGTTTGGCTCTTGCTGTGTGTGTCTTCAAAACAACAAAGTAGAAAAAATAAACAATGACCAACCTAAAAAATTACCTCTGAATAACAGAGTTCAGTTTGGCTTCTGAGCTATTTTAACTTGAAGAAAGCACCAAAAACTTGCCATGTGTACACAAAGGGTATAAAAGTAGTTGGAGAATTCTGAATGCTCTTCTTTTTTTGGATATTTGAAGGCTCCTTCCATAGTTGCAGGATGACATTGTAATTGGTCTACAAAACTTCCATTTTCTGAAAATGGATCTTGCATCTTTGACACTTGGGCTCATTGCACTGTGAGGGGCTGATGATGTTAAGGGTTGCAATGCTTCTTTTCTGCACAGGAAGTTTTCAATGAAATGAGCCAACTATTAGGAATGTATTTATCCTTAAAACTTTACTACCCTACTAATCTACGTGGGTTTTACTCTGCGTTTTCTCCTCGAATATTTTCTAAGTGGATGTCTGAACTTCAGGCATCAGGTCTGCTGAGCTCTAGCTTTCAGGGAGCTGGCCTGGATGCTTCTGGCAGAGCTACCATCAAAATGGACCTGCAAAACCACTTGAGGTGTTGGTTAGACCAGGCTAGCAAATTGGTTTAAGCTCCACAGCTGTCACTGTACTGTAAACAGGGGCCTCGTGTGTTGATATAATGCTAGTTTGGGCATCTCTGCCTCCTGCAGGCAGACCTCCAGCTGCGATGAAGGGGCATCTTTGGTTTTTCTGTGGCTCATCCTGAACCCATCAAAGTGTCCTGCCTCTCTTGTTTCAGAAGTTCTGCAAGCTCGATTCTTTATCATGCAGTTTTTCCTAGGGAAGCTCAGTAACATCATTCTGCATTTAAGATGCTCAAGCCTCTCTTTTGTCTCTTTCCTACTGCAAGCGTCCTTGTTCTCCCACTTCTCAGCTGGCTGTGTCTAATTGGAGACCATCCAGCATGACATACTGTTGTGTTATCAATCACTTGTGATAGTTTGTGCATTTTCCTTGTTTTGTTTGCTCCCAAGTTCCTGACCTCTGGCTTTGTGCAAGAAGTCCTGCATTATCAGAGTTTTTAGTTGGGATTTACATCTCTGCCTGGCTGTGGTTTGTGTTTTGGGTTTGTTTTGTTTTGTTTTGGTTTTGTTTTTTTTTTGGGGGGGGCAGGAATTCTTTTGGTTGCTGTAACTTACTTCAGTGTTCTTGTTTGTGTTCTGATTTTTCTTTCATGCCTTTACAGTCTCATTTGGAATATGCCAGCACCTACCCTGTGGTGAGAATAGTCTGCAAGTTGCAGTGTGTGTTAAAAACTAATCATGAAGAAGAAACTAACATCAATTATGATAGCTGATTTGAGATAAGAGATGATTTGAAATGATCCTGAGGCAGTTCATTGTGATGTAAAGATGCTACTTCCCTCACCTACTCCTCTGATGCAGTTCAGATAAAAAGCTCTGAACGATTAGAGAGATACAAGCTAGATCTAGTTCATTAGTTACCATAGGACAGAGCAGAATAGCTTTTATTTATTCTAACAGACTTTCTCTAATACAGTCTGTCCATTGTTTGACCAGGTATATCAGGTTTTATTTCGGCATAAATCTGGAAAGGAATAAAACTCACTCTGAATAGATCTAGCAAAGGTGACAGGATAAATACACTGCCTACCAAAGCCTCGGCTTGTGTATCGAGCTGTTTCCTTTTCTTTGGTGGATAAAATCAAACTCTGTAGGTAATAATAAGATGAGAGTGAATATTTGCATTGAACACACTGAGATAAAGCTGACTCTTGGAAGAACAGAAAGGGCACGGAAGGGTGAATGAGAATTGGGACTTCAAGCTCAGTTTAAAAAATTTCCTTATGCTGTTAGCAGTGCTGACTTGTGGCAACACTGTTGAAATAGAGGTGTCTCGTTCTGCAGAAGGCAAACTGTGGAGAGCAGTTCTATGGCCTCTAGTTTTTTCATTCTCCTTTGTTCCCTGCACTATTTCAAATTAGGAATGCAGTGTATCTATTTTGAGTGACCTATATACAGAAATAGTTCAAACACATTTGGATTTTGCATGGATGTATTGATATAGTAAGTATAGACAGCTGGTAGCTCTTTTAATTGACTTAACCCATCAAGTGTGAACGATTTTAACTGTGGCTACTAAATTTAACAGTGCTATCATCACTTTTAACAATATTCTTTAATAACTGGTCGTTTGACTTTGAGATTTGATTTTTTTCATGTGTGCTTACTGGGCCGTGTTGTGTGGAGCTGGAGGAGAATTGGACTGATGTTTTTGCATGTTGATATGCATGCTTTGCTATGGATGGGTGTGCATAAACTCATTGATCTTTTCATCCTGCATTCTTAATCTCACTGCAGGCTGGATTAGAGAATGAGAGGACCAAAAAGAAGAACTACTCCAAAGCAGTATGTATCCTGACTGTCTCAGAGAGGTTTTTGCATACAAACCCACTGTGATAGGACAAAGAATATGTGCAAGTCTGTGGCTGTTAAGAGCTCACCAGCCTAATGTCAAGGATACAGCATAACTATGAGGACTTGTTGGGTCTGTGAGAATACTGAACATCATTTCGTCTGCAAAATGTGGTATAATCCAAACACTTAGGTCGGTGTTGTGCATAAAGAGCATCTTGAAAACTCAAAACCTAACTTCAACATTACACAGAAATAGGTAATACTGATAGAATATATGTAGTAAAGGCTGCATCTTTCATAAAGGTAGTTCTGCGTAGGATCGGTGCTTTACTAGGACCTGTATAAATAGGATGCTACTTAGAGCACTGCAAAGCACTTCCTGGATGGGACGTAAAGGATACTGTGCTTTTACACGGGCAGGATTTTAGGTGAATCTCATGGGGAGCAATTCCAGGGAGGGAAAGAGTACACGAGGGAGGGCAAAGTGGTGTACTGCTAGTGTGGAGGGAAGGCTGCTCATCACAGAAAGATGTTGCCAACCTGGCTTGGGGTTCTTCAGTACTTTGGAAATCAGCCAATTTTCTGAGAAGTGGAAGTTGGGTATGGAATTGAGAAAGCCTGAAGGAGCAGCATTAGCCACAGTCTAAGGTAAAAAATGCTACAAGTAGAAACAGACATAATGGCAATGAGAAAGTTTTCTGCATTGTTAAAAGCAAGAAGAAAATACAAAAAATAATAGGGTCAATTGCGCATGAAGGGAGAACAGGTAAAATCTGGATATTTTAGCTTCCCCAGTATGCAATTTTATTTGTTCTAGTTTGCACGAAGATTATGATCAGATGTTTAGCATGCTAATGTAGCGTAGAACGAAGGTCAGCAAAGTCTGATAAAATTGACCTTTCTCTTCAAGAGTGGTCTGCAGTGTTTGCCTTCAAAAATTATGTGCTGGAGAGGTTTCTGGAGAGGATGGGTTACAGTGGCAAGAGAAATGACCTGAGCTATGGGGCTTCAGTTTGAGATTTGAAAGATACAGTGCAAATTAAACAAATACATTTAGAAGTGCCTGAAATATAAAGTGTTAAACAGTTAACCTGGATTTGTGGAAAATTAATCATGTAGATTCAACTTAATTTTCCTAAGCAGGGTAATTATTTAAGGGCATAAAGGCATTAGGTGTGACTATAACTTGACTATAAGGCTCTTGGCATGTCTCTACATAACATTAAATGAAACTTCGGGCAATATTTAGTTCTTGTAAAAGAAATGCACAGTTAGTTGAAAAATAACTTTATTGGAAAACGAGACAGCTGGAAAGGTTCTCATCTGGTCTATTCCCATCTAAGCGTCGTCTGTTTTTAAAGGAGAAAAGACTTCTGTTGCCTAGCTCTCTGGAGGGAAGGTGGTTTCATGCAAGGTTAGAATAAAAATGCTGATGGTGAATAGGAGACAACTTGTCAAAACTGAATAATAGTAAAAAGAAATAAGGAATACCACATTTTGGGAAAAATTAAATATACTGATACAAAGTAAAGAATCCTCCATAGAAATGGTTCAGATAATAATCTGAGGTTACATTTAGTCAATACTACATTGCTGAGAAAGGGCAAACTTAATTCCTCAGCGTAGTAATGAAAGGGGCAGTGGAGGTAATTGATCTGCATGGTGCTGTAGAGGCTATGGCTGGAGTGTTGGCTTTAGTTCCTGAAGATTCATTTTAACCATTCTTCAGGAGGGTGTTAGAGAAATCAGGGAGCCTGTAAAAAAAAAAAAAAAAAAAAAAAAGGTAAAAACCAGAAAGAAGCCAAGCTGTATGAGAAGGCTATAGCAGTATTTTAGTTTGGTGGTTTTTGAAAAAAGAAACTGGATGTTGGCCCTCCATTTGTGGTAATAATATTGCATTTCAGTAGGGAATCTAAGCTTTTTCCTGAAGTTGCTTTACCAGCTTGGGTCTGAACTGGTTTCTAAGTTAATTTGTTTAATTTTTCATGGAAGCCAATGTATAGCATTTGATAAATATTTTGTTTTGAAATTGATTCAGATTGGTTTTACTGGATTTTCATTTTGGAAATACAATAAAACTTGGTCTCCAAAATTTAATTTGAATAGAAATTCTAATTAAAGTTCCACTAAAAAACCCCACTCTGAATACACAGAGTGCTTGCTCATTTTCAGTGTTAAACCAGACCTCATTGTGAAACGATGCCAGAGTAGTGAATTGCTTGAAAAATCTGAACTTTAAATGGTACCGACTGATGTGACTTTTGGGTCTATCCTCTTTTTTTCCAAGCCAATCGGCACTGTAGTGATCGTTTTATGTTATTCCTGACCCTCTGCCATAAGGACTTGAAGCATCTCATCCTGCTTGTGAAATGCTGGTTCTGAGCCTGTTTGTTTGTTCTCCTTTGAGGGAAAACATCTCAGTGACAAGGCAGGTTGTCGAGTATGATGGAGGACAGCTGAATGGACTGAAATCTCTTGTTAGTCTTCAAGCTGCCACACAAAATCCTGGGATGTGGCAGATGGTCACTGTCTGGGTGTAATTTTGATGTAATTGGGGAAAGCTAAAGAGAAGAGATTTCATACAGCATTGCATGTTTATTAAACTAAATTTCTTAAATATAAACTTACAATTAATTCTTTTGCTACAAATTGCTGCTTTTTAATTGCTTAGCTCCCACAATAAGTAACTACAGTGATAAATTTCTTTTATTGTAGTCTCTCATCCCTAGAGTCCCTATTTTGTCCTGTGTTCCCTCCACAGAGCGTTTGAAAAGACAGGTGATAGAGTGCAGTAATAGCAGGAGAAGCAAAAGTGTTTCTTAACAAGAAAAAAAAAAAAAAAGGGGTCAAGAAAGTCAAGCAGGAGTATCCTTGACATTTTTGGCTGGTATGCCAGTACTGACAGATGCACAAATGTACATGTCCTCATGTTCAAAATCACAACCTAATCCTGCACTTCTCCTGTTCCTGGTGTATCTTTGAAAAGTTCTGTCTCTGCCTTTGCTTTTCATAAGTGATGACTTTTGCTAAAAATTCCCTTTTGGGTCTGCATCAATTTTTTCTCTCCTTTTTTTAAATTTATTTTTTTTATATATATATTTTCTTTTCTTTTTTCCTCTCCTTCCATAACAGACCAATGGTTATGAGGAAGACGTGTATGGATCATCCCAGAGTAGAAAATCTAGCAGGGTTAGTAGATGATTTATATGGCTATAAAATCTATTGCTCTATTTAATGGGGTTAAAGCTAATTAGCAAATTCTTTTCTGTGGTAAAGCAGGTTTTTCCTGTCTTGCATGTTTTGGGTTTTGCAGACTGTCAGAGGTGGAGGTGCAGCAATAAGCTGTCTTTAAAAAGACAAATAAAATAATTAGGCCATGAGTGGGAAGGGAAGTCTCTGAATTAGCTACAAGAAGAACTTAAAGGCCAGAACTGCTTAACTTGTAAACAGAATTGGGTCAAAGTTGAATTGTGACAAGAAGTAGTTGGGTGGCACCACCTGCCATGGAGGATTTCCATGTGCTGGACAACAAAATAATTGTTTTCCAACCTGTGTAACTTTTTCAAATTGTGCTCTAACACTGCAACTCCCAAGCTTCACCTAGAATTTAGTCTTTGTCTTGAGATTTGCATACGTAAAATTGACTTTGGATTTTTAATTTCCCCCAAATGTGTGTTGTTTAGTTGAAGTTTGATTAACTAAATGTCTTTTTTTTTTTTTTTTTCCTTTATAAACTGTATCCTAGGATTTCTGGAAACTACCACAGCCAGTGCAAGTGTTACTGCTTAGCTACTTACCATTGATGTACTTTTATTTCTAGAAATACTCTTGTCAAAAAAAGCTTAATTAACTAAACTTTGTGTATGTGGGTCACAATGTTCCCTTCTGTTCCAGCACAAGGGTTTTGTGTCAGTTATAAGAATTCATTGTCCTGCTTTGTTAAATATTGGTGTTTGTGCAAATTAGTTGAATGTATTGTCTTAAGCAGAGCCTCTTTGGGGGGCAGGGAGGGGAACTGGTTGTTAAAGGCAAAGGAAAAAAACCCAAAGGCAGACAGAAGAGCCTGTTGATCTTTATGCTATCAAGATTTCTAAAGAAATTTAGTGGTATGCAGACTAAAGCTCTGTGTTTAGGGGAAAAATAAACTACGTTTAAGACTTCATTTAGCTAAGTGTTTGAGCAATACATGCTAAACATGAGATAGATTTCAGTGACTTTCTAAGTTACTTTGTAAGCATGAAGTTAAGCAGAGGCTTGTATAAATAGTGAAATGGGACCTTCTATTTCATGTCCATTTTAAATTGTTGCTTCCATGTGGTTTTATGCATTTAGCTTGTATATGTGGATAAGAGAAAATGAAATACTGTTGCTTAAACTGTTAAGAAAACAGTATGTCCTGTTGTTGGCACTCTTGCTGAACTGCTTAACAAGTTCAAGGAACTTTATTATGTAGTGCTTCTGACAAATTATGTTCTTATTCTTTAATGACATGCTCCAGATCTCAGAGTACTACAGGGAGAGCAAAGTATCTGTAAGAAAGTCATCCAGGGAAAAGCAGTTGTTTGGTTTCCATTTAAATAATTTCAAACCCTAATAGCAAGATGTTTTTTAGCATGGAGGTTTAGCATATGAAGAGCGTAATTATGGCAACATCGTTAGTTCCTTGCTGTTTTCATTACTAAGTGTAATTCAGAGTAATTAGATTTAGAGGGGGGATGAGAGTTTGGGGGTGACTTGGTATAGCTGAAACTCCAAAATCACTGGATGCCAGTATTCACCTTCAGAAATACTCTCTCCCAAAACCCCAAACCTAACTGTAAAGATTGCCAAAGTGACAACGAAAAACAGAGAAGAGGCAGAGTTCTGCAGGTCAGGAAGGAAGTGATGAGTCTGCTGATAAAATAGTTGTTTCCAAAATAGGTGTCCAATTTTAAGTCACCAAATGGAGTGATGTCCATATGCAGATTAGCTTTTGTACACTATACTTGCAATATCATGGGTTGATTCCTTAAATATTAATGATGCCATGTGCTGAGGTAGTCCATGTGCAGATTGCAAACTCCCTAGGTGGGAATTAAAGTAATTTCTTTAATCTCAGTTCAGTTTATTCAGATTTCTTCTCAGCGAAAATCTTATTTTCCAGGCATTCAGGAAGAATGAAGCAGAAAGGGATGTAAATTTTTGAGGTTGGACAATGATTTATCTTCTGTGTATACCTTTGGGGTCTGTGTCTTATTCACAGACCTGTTTGCCTGCAGTGACAGAAGTCCAGCGTCAAGAACAAACAAGTTTCTTTCATTTGTCAGAAATCTCCCTAATTTATAAATGGAGTTAACACCTACATCATTTATAGCGATGATGCATTCCCACCAGCCTGCATGCACCCGTGGGGAAATAAGGAACCTAAACAGTGCCTAGAAGGCTTTGAAAATACCTTTGCAAGTCGTGTGGTGTTGCAGAGCTAGTTACAAGAGGCTGAGCGAGCACAGAAGACATTTCACGCGGGTGGGGACGCGGGGAGGTAGCATTTCCTCCCTCACCCTTGCATCTTCCTAGTATGCCTGTATTTCTTATATACGCATTTCCAATCTTCATTGAAAGCAAACCTTGATTTGCAAATTTAAATATCCCTCTGTGTTAAAACCAGCTCTTTATATCAACTTAAGTTGTTCATAATATATTGTTGCATGCTCCTGGAGGTTTTGGGAGGGCAAAATACTGAGTTCCACTCAATATTATAAATATCCTACTGCTGTCAGCCTTCCTGCACCCTGGCAAGCCCTACGTGCCAGGTTTGAGTTGAAGCTTTTATGCAGCGGAAATTCTCACAGTTAATGCACGACAGCAGAAAAGCTGAGCTGGCATCCTATACTCCAGTACAGGTGCTGGGGGGAATGAGTAGAGATGTTGTATATCACACTAGGTAAGTAAGGGAGATTTTTAAGTCCACTGGAGTTGCCAATCAGTCACTATTGGTACTTTTGGTATTTAACTTGGAGTTAAATTAAGATCTCCCCATTCTTGGGGAGACCAAATAAGCGGACCAAAGCACAAGGTTGGGTAGATGCCAGGTAGGAAGCTGCATAAAAGAAAATCTTTAGTTTAGACAGTCTCACTTCTTACAGAAACGCTTCCCTTGCGTTCAGCTTTGCCACATCTGACAGAGGGCTGCTCACTTTTCTTGATGGTGCACCCAACTCTTTTGGTCCCTGGCTTTGCCCTCTGTCTCCTGGCAGAGTTGTCCTGACACCATCTTCTGCATCTCTTGTGGGTTTAGCTTATTAGAGCATAAAATCCTCAAGAATTCAGAAGGAAGCCAGCCTACTCTGGCCAGTACATTTTTCCAGTGCTTGATGGGCAGTGGCAATCCACTCTGCCTGCAGTGGTGGGACTGCACGTGTGAAGAAACAAATTCTCTAATGCAGGATCCTGGGTTTTCAGGTATGAAGCTGTGATGCAGCCATTTATTCTGAGTTTGAGCCTGGAAGCTAGCATTTACAGCATCTTGTAAAACAGATGTTGTCTGTTATGTTTTACAGAAGCTGGAAGTATGTTGGTAAATACAGCTTCACTTAACTAGAGTTATGATGAAACCTAGGTGCATGAACTGCATACATGCTTTTGGAAATGTGGTCTGTTTTCTTCCAAGTCCCATACAAACAATGTCTGTGCAACACACTGTCATGTTGGGTCATAGCAACGAGGAGGGAGGAGAGAATGTGGGAGTTTAAAGCCTTCTCAGTGGAAAAGAAACCAAAAGGAGTATTTTGAGTGTAAGATGCTGTCGGGATAGAGGAAATGCCTTTTGTTTATTTAAAAAAAAAAAATCTCTGCCTTGCATATGGAGAGGGCACACAATTTTCCCATACCCTCGTATCTTTAATGCAGTTTTCTTAATGCAGTTATCTCCTCTTTCTGCTTCTGTGTCCACTTTGATTCCTTGTAATTTGTAAGCACCTAATATACTTTTTCCTTCTCACTTAGAGGAATTCAGAAGGTCCATCATGTCGTGATGCTGAGTTCTCAAGGGTTTATTTTTTGTTTATTATTGATGCAGGCTTCCTACTACTCTGATCTGGGTCTTCACAACAGCGGCTATGCTTCCACATCTCAGCCTTCCTCCCAAAATGGAAATTGGGTCTGTTGCCCTCTGACTTTACCTGGCCTGGACTGTTCTGACTTCATTTGGATAATACAGCCTCTTGTATTTAGGAATGAATTTGGACCGGTTGTCAAGAGTCTCTCGAACTCTCTTTAGTAAAACTTAAAAAAAAAAAAAACAACAAACCACAAAACCAAAACAGGCCTTTTAAGATAGGAGTGAGTAATGGAAAGCTGTTTTAAAATGAGCACAATTAGTTTTCCTTTGCTGCTCCTCCCTTTCCTACAGTTACTTTGTTTGCTTTTGGCCTCAAGTGGTCTGGAAAAATAAGGGAAATCTTAATTAACTCCCGTTCTCTATTCTATTTGAGGCAACTTCTCTGCTCATGGTATCAATCTAGCAAGCTTCAGCCAATCCAGTCTGCATAAAATGTCCTTCACGGACTGCTGGAAGAAAACCGCTGAAGCTTCAAAATCACCCAGGAGGTTGGATTGTCCTGTGCGTGTGGAGGTTGCTCAGGCAGCCCGGCGCTAGCAGAGCAGGGCTTGGGCAGTGGTTCTCAGCCCGTCCTGCCCGACAGGCAGTGGCAGCACAGGGGCTTCGCCGGGTGCTCGGCGATGGGGCACCGCAGGCGAGCGAGGTGACCTGCGGCGGGACGCTGCCTGCAGGCTGGGGGCTGGGGACCACTGCCGGAGGAGCTCTTGCACCTAATTCTGCCAGCTGCAGTGGGTGCTCTCTGAAGTTAATTGCTGCATCTTTTGAGTGATGGGTGCTAAACCGCAAAGTCGTTTGTTTCACGATGCTCTGACTTAAGTACTCATAATTTTGTCCTGAATTATTTGGATTTTCTCTGCATTTTTGTTTAATAATAAAATACACAAGAGATGATCATCTTATAGCTGTGTGAAACACTTAAGATGTGTATCTTAAAACACTTTTGTCTTTGTATGTAGCTCTTTTTCTGGCTTTGGTTGAAGTGAGGAGAAACACCCTTTCTGGCTGCTACATACAAATGTGTGTGACAATAACAATTTAACAACCTAAAATTAAATTACTCTGTTTTGCTTTTGCATACTGTTGTGTCCTCCCTTCCTGCAGGAAATGCACGTGTCTGCTTGGTATTCTTAGTCTTTGGGAGTTGAGATTTAATGCTTTTATGGCACAGATGACTAATATTCTTTCTACTGGGTTTCCTTCTGTTGTAGTTTAATAATCCTGATCTCTTTATCAAGATGGTTAATTCTGCTGTAGGCGCCTTTTTTTGTTTCATTTTCTATGCAAAAAAAGTTTTGTGCTTGTCTTCCTCAGCCCTCGTTGCTGTACAGCGATGCCCTGCCAGCCAGAAGTTATAGGGTTTGTTGTACTAATGCTCTGAACACAAATATTGAAGCCTCTCACCTTCAGCCATGCATATGTTGTCTCTTGCCTCTGTAGTTTCCTGTTGGGTCCATTTGTTTCACACTCTGGTGTCTGGTCCATCTGAATGCACATGTGCAATGCTGTTTGTACAGACCTGGATTTGCTGATCCTTCCTTTTATTCCCGTTGGAACTGTGCAACCAATGCTCGTGGGGTTGTGATGCTGCTGCAGACTTCTCTCTGGATGGAGATGATCGTCTTCATTTCAGTGTATTAGCTGTAACATACAGGAGCAGGCCAGAGAGAGGCAACATCAATTCTTTCTGGTTGTGTAACAACTACAACAAAAATCTGTTTACAAATTTTTGTAGCCAAATTCCACTGTCCTTGTTTAAACTTTAAAATTAACTTCTTAGATTTTTTTTTTTTTTTTTCCTGAAAGCTTAAAGGTAGAGTTTCCTGCTCCCCCTGTGTTTCCTGAGCCGTACCTGTATATGCTAAACTGGAGCCAGTCTTAAAATATGCATCATCGTTTTATTAATTTAGTAAACTGGCTAGTAAGTGAAGTTCATCAGGTGTGAGTTTCACCCCATATTGCCAGCACCAGAAGTGGAGGTTAAACAGATTTGAACAACTTAAGAATTGATGTAGCTGTTTTGTTGGTAGGCAATATTAACTGTTCTCCCAATCATCAGTTCAACAGTTTGAAATGCATGACTACGTGATGGACTTGGGGGGGTGGGGTGGGGAGTGTTGTGTCAGACTTTGCACGTGCCTTGCGGCATTTCCCAGCTCACTGACTTCAGATTGTCTTAGATATCTTCACTTGCATGTTGCTTGTGTTTGCATACAAGAGATGTCCCTGTCCTTGCACAAGTAGCTCATTCCCCTACATCGTTCGTGCTGCACCTTGTGAATTTGTAATGCTCCAGACTGAAACCAGAAACTAGGTCTGCCAGTCCTGTTCTGACTCTGTCTTTTAATTGTAGGCGTCTGTGTATGACGAGAGCGTTTACAGTGGGAGTCGTCGGTATAGTGCCTCTAGTTCTCGTGCTGTAAGATGTTTTCTGCATTTCCCTGTTGTCTTGTCTCTGTCCTCCAGTAACCTGCGTGTACCAGAACACAGCCTCTGCTGGGCTGAGGAACATTTAAGATGGACTCTGTGACACTCATAGCCTGCTGCTGCTGTAGGCAAAAGTATGAGCACTGTTTCCTTGAGCTTCCATGAAACAAGAAGTAGTGATTTATCTGCTGTTGTGATGCCTGGCCTCGTGCAGGCCGGCTCTGGCTAGCACTGGCAGAGCCAGGCACTGGGCACTCACCCCTCTGTGACAAGGGGAATTCAGCTCAGCCTCACATTTGGTTTGCAGATAAAGCACCTTGGAAAGATGGTATATAAAGTTCCTTCCCTCACTGAGAATTCTTCTTTCAAAAACTAAGAAGAATATAGTTTAAAAAACCCCAACAAGACACAACACTTCCCCAGTGTTACATCATTAGCACTTACCTACTAGCCTGAAGTACAGGATTTTTGTGAAGGTACAACTTGCTTGGTTTTGTTTCTTGGATTTATATTCCATAGTGATATTTCAGGCAACTTGTGATGATGTTTTCAAAATACATGCTCCTGTAAGTAGAGAGCTCTGTCATTTATGGGGAAAGACAATATGAGGAATGACAATATAAATTGTTTTCTTTCAAAAAAGAGGGGCTGCAGGACTCAGTGTACAGATTAGAAGGCAGAAAATAAATGCTTTCACCTCTTCTCAGATGGGGCCTCCCTGTCATGGTGAACGTTTGGGCCAGGCAGTACATCTGCTGTTGTATCGGTCTCGTGGGGGGAAAAAAAGCGCCAATCTTTTTTGATTTTTAAATTCTGGTCTGTGGACCCACTGCTTATTCTGTCTCTGAACTGCTTCACTGATTATCAAAAAAAACCCAACCAAACAAAAGAGCCCCAACAAACAAACAAAAAAAACCCTCTAACGTAAACATAAGACTGTCACAGAAAACAGCCTCAAGACAAAGCATTGATGTTAATGTAACTGTAAAAGTTACAATTTTATTAGCTTGGAGAAGGAAACAGACTTTCAAGAATGCTTACTAAGTGCTTGTTAGTCTTTAAAGGGCTATTCCATCCCTTTGCAATCACACTGGTTCACTGGTTGAGCTGTGTGTCTTGGTGCTACTGATGTTAAGCTTCAAATTACTTTCTGTTTCATAATTGTGCTTTCTTTTCATCTGGCTGCCTTGGAAAATTCATCAGTACTTATCAGTTTGGACTCTTGTGGCAGACTTCAATTCAGTGAATTTGCCACTGAGGCTGTGCTGGGCTGGTTCTAGCCCATTGTTTGTATGGGATGTCTTTTGTTTGAGACAGGTCTCTCCAAGGTCCCTATGATACACTTCTACTCTTGGGAGAAATAATTTACAGTGGGCTCCAAGCCCAAACACTGTTTACAAGTCTTTCAACCAGTGTTAATGGCTTGAGCAAGGAACACAATAAAATGCCAGTGCTTGTTCCCCTTTCTCCATCCCCATCCTACCCTGTGCCACAGGTATTTGGAAGCCTTTGTATAACCCAGCCTTTCCATTTTCTGTTTCATGGTCGCCTGTAGTAATGAGAGTTGAAGTATGAGATTTTTTGCCTTGATGGGAACAGCCTTGTCATAATTAGCAAGTTATCTGTGGTTATTTTAACATCCCTGAACCTTGTAGCACTTTTTAACATGCAGAGGGTGTGCTGTTTGGGTAGCTGTCCCCAAAGAATGCTTTTTGGATGATGAGGTGACTGGTGAGTGCAGGGGGCAAGGCAGAAACTGGCCTTGCTTGGTCTCAGCCAGCTGAACAAGGGGCACTTGCTTCCATATTCTGCCCTGCAATACACAGAGAGCAACTGTGGAATAAACAGGTCCCGTGAAGCATGAATATAGGACTCACCAGTAGTTTATACTTTTTCCCTGTCATGTCTTTCAAGTTTACATTCTTGTTACAGTAAACATAAAACACCAGTGATGGTGCAATGCTTCTGTGCTAGAACTAGTTAATAAGGAAACAACATCTAAATATTTACTTCAGGGCTTTTTGTTTTTAATTTAGGAATTGAAGTGGCTGTGATTGAAAATAATTGTAAACTGTGTGCAGTACAGTTCTGAATTTTGCATATTCTCATCTCTCAAATGAAGCTCAGTAGTTCAGACGCATGAAGTCAACCTCACTTCACGTAAGACGTTAGAGGACACAGCTTGGTCACGTTCTGCCCTTTTTCAGGGGCTTGCTAAGGTCTGTGTACCTTGGAACATAAAGCTTTGTGGTTAGTAACTAAGGTTAGTGTTGTACTGTAGCTGGGGTTACTTTCATCTTACCCTTCTATAGTTTAGGAGTACTTTAAGGTTAATTTTCATTTAATACTGTGCCGCTGTGTAAGCGTGACTCAGTGATGCTGAAACAGTCCTCCAGTAGCTTGGTGAAGATGTGGCTGTCTCTGTAGCTTGAGGAGTCCAGGGGATTCCTGTACTGGCCAGGTAACTTAGCAGAAGAAGCCCTAAAAGAAGACAGAGTATATGCATCTCATACTTTTAAGTATGATAATTTTTTAGATTTCAGTGGTTTTGTATCTGAGAAACAGGCTTGAGTGCCTATAAAATAAAACTCATGAGGGTCGTTAGCAGCATAGTCTGAGCTGCTGAGAAGAGCAGTTAGTTCCTCATGCCCGTTCCCATCCCTGAACTGCTTCTGCCCTTCTGTCTGCACTAGCTTTTGCATGTGAAATTTGACAGACTGATGTGCCTCTTTACAGAGGCTACATTCACAGTTGCCTTGAGGTGGTAGCAGTAGGAAAAATACCATGTCTGGTAAACCTCAAACTTTAATTCCTCTCTGTTCTGAATGTATCAAAAACTCCCTTTTATATATGCTTATCTATCTTTCTATAAAGTACATCTAAATAAAAGATTAAGTGTGAAGCTGCTACTCTGAAATCTGTGAAAATAGAGGGAATAATTCTAAAATGCATTTCCAGAATAAGTTTTAGTTCTGTTTTCCCAATGCTTTAAACTTTCATTTTTCTTTTCTACTTGCACTGCATTATAACCTCTGGAAATAAAACAGTGTAGACCCATTTTTTGACCTTGTCAGCAACAAGTCAGCCCTGTTTGTTCTGCATCACTGCTTAGATATTTGCTTTTAAGAAGAACTAAAATACTTTCTTTGGAGATGAGGACTGCAGGTGCTGGAAAAGCAGGAGGGATACTGAGTCTCTGAGATGGTCTCAGTTTTTACTTTAATCACCACACAGATGGGTGTTTCTTGCTTTGACCTGAGGAGCACAGATTCATTTTATATGTGTACAGTGTTGGAAATGTGGGAAGCAGGCTCACCAGAGAACCTCGGAGCTTGTGTAAAGTAGTAGGATTGAGCCCTTTGTATAGAGACTGAGTTGCTTGTGACTGATATCTTAAGATATACAAATAAATCACTGGTATTGTGTCATTCTAAGAATTGAATGAAAACTCTACTTAGTCCATCATCTGGAATTACTGCTTGCCTCAGTTTTTAAATTAACAGTTGAATTATCTGTTCTCTGACTTTCACTCCTATTCTTTTGTCCAGCTGCATGTAATCGTTTTCATAACTAACCTCCGATGTAATGCTCTGAATCCTCTCTCGCTTCCCTTCCCAATTCTAATGCTTTTCTCTTTTCTCTGCTTGCTGTTCTTGGTTTACCTGCGGCAGCCTTCTGAATACAGCTGCTACCTTGGGTCAGGATCTCGGGCATCCTCAAGAGCCAGCTCTGCTCGGGCCAGTCCAGTGGTGAGCTCCTCTCTTTTCTTTGTTCCTTGTTTAATTCCTCTGTTCCTCAAGGTCTTTTTTATACAATGAGGTCACTGTCCCTCATGAGGCAGTTTCTTAGGGTATTAATTGGACCTTCTGGGCAACGTTTAAGACAAAGAAAGGGTGAATCGGTTGAGAGATTACAAAACCAAAGTAATTTCTATGCAGATGCACATGTTTTTACCATAGAAAATACACTTCAGACTCATGTGACTGCTCACTTTTTTCTAAGCCAGGCATAAAGAACATCAGCAAGGGTGTTGTGAAAAAGACTGGGTTGTTGATGCTAGTGCTGCCATCCCCTTTGGTTATTAAAATTAGGAAACCCTAAATCCTACTGCAGCATTTAAGTAGTTTAGTTTCTCTACATCGAGCATTATTTTGGTGTTCTGTTGCTGCTAATCTGCAGAGCTATCCAGAGACTGAATTTGAACACATTTGTTGGACTGTAGATCACCAGGCACAGCAGAGGCATTAGCACAGTGAAGTGCTGGAGGGGTGGCGTGTACCCAGCATGGCTAGCATCATGAATTCCTAAGTAGTCACAGCTGAACAAGACTCACATGCTAAAGGCTTGTCCAACCCCTGTGACTGTAGTTGACCAAGAAGAGCCTTTCCCCTGCATTTTACAGATGGAAAGTAATTGTCTTCTGTTTTTTTCAGTGGCATGTTGTTGCCTTCTCTTTGTGATTGCTCCATCTGACTGTTTAAAATTCTGAATATCTTTCCTGATTAATTTCAGAGCAAGGCCTGGTAGTGTGGTGACAGTAGCAGAGTGCAGTAGCATGTCTCTTAGAGGAAACACTGTAAGCTGCACATCTTACAATAAACCAGTCTATAACGAGATTAATCTTCCACGGGGAGTGATTTTTGAAGTGTTGCACTGGGTTTCAGTAAACTGGCTTTGCTTTGCAGAAACATTCTTCCTGGTAAAGTTCTAATGTGTTTGTTCTCCTGGGACCTGTCACATACTACCTACCACATCCCCAAGATATGAAGTGATGAGGAGGGTGATACCGTAAATGAACACACACAGTGTGCTTCTCTAGTCATAACCTCTTATTGCCTTTATTGCTTTGTTGAAGAGCTGAAATTTAAATGCTGTAAATGTTGCCTTAAGGACTAATTAAACAGGAGTATCTGGGTAGTCAAAGCAGCTACCACAGCATGCAACACAGTAAGCTGTAACATGAGTATTTGGAGTGTTCCTCTTCAGTAAACACACACAGTCTGCAGTAAGGAATTGCTTTGCATCTGATGTCCCCCAGCATGCTGGTTTCCCCCTTCAGATGCAACCTGCAATTTGAAAACCTGTGCACTGTAGCATAAGGGTTTTCTGCTGTAGTTAGAAATGTGTAGTAAGCCTGCATCCCAGTGGTGAAAGGTACCTGAACTCTCCACTCAGAGTTACTTCTTGTCATCAGGCAGGGAAGAGGTGAGCGTTTTGATCATCAAGCCAGCCTTCTTCTAAGTGAGAACTGAATAAACTGGCTGGAGCAAAAGAAAATGGAATTGATAGAATAGAGATATATGCCCGGAAGTATTAATGTTTCTTAAAGACAAAGGCACATCCACTTCAATAAATTACTATTTATTTAAAAAAATAAATTCATCAGATAGTGTATGGCAGTTGGTAAGCTATAAATAAATCAGTTTTTTAATTAGTCTCTGAGTCTGAGTCCCTGAGCTATGTGTTTTTGCAGTACGTATCTTACATTAGTAATACTTCTTACATGTCTTTGCAAACTGAATTTCAATTGTCCCCAAAGGAAGAAGCAGTCAGAATAACCAGGTATTCCATTAAAGTTCTTTAAGTGTAAGAATTGTGTACCCATACATTGATGTTGGTTTCCATTATGTGTTTTTTGTATGCAGTCTGAGTCATTCATGCAAGTTGTTTATGGTAATCACAAAATGCAGCTTGGCCCTCCTGGGAGCTGTAGGGCATTTTTTGTCTTTCAATTCTCTGCTTATACTTTGGACTCTTTGTATGCTGGAGATGGTTAGCTGTGTCAGCATTGGTGCTGGAGAGGTGCCAAGCTGAATCTGCTCTGCAAGGAGACAACAGGCACTTATTTATGTATTTATTTTTAATTAGTGGTTTATTGCAGGATGTGAAGAGCTTCTGTTATTTCCATAGACTTGAAGACGAGAATTAACGTTCTAGTGGGTCTAAAAGGCACCACTGCCGGGACCCCGCTTCTGCTAACGCAAGGTAGCACAGACCTTGTTAACGGGGTGGCGTTGCTCTTAAAAATTCTAATTGCTGCACTGGGTCAATGCAGCAGCACCTCTGTTGTTTTTTTTTTTTTTTTATTTATTTTTTTGCTTTTCTTTTTTCCCCCCTGTATTAAGCAGGCATTGCCTCTTTCTGTAACTCACAGTAAGGAGTCGTTTGCCTTTTACTAACAGAGGTTTGAAGGCATTTTGGTAACATTTTCAGTTGTGTACTTGATCTTGGCAGTAAAGATGCTGAAATAGAGCCTTGTCTTCTCAGCAGGCTTAGCAGTGTATCACTTCCACTCCTACAGTCCTGAAATGTCATCTGCTTGGACTTCTTAAAGGAAGAATAAAGATCTCATTGGACGATGGTGATAACTTATGAGAGGAAAAAAGTGGTTGTTTTTGTCTATATGAGTAGTCTACATTAGAACTGTTTTAATATTGCTAACCCCCAAAACTGGGTTGTTCCCCGCCTGAATGTATTGAGCCATATGCTTTTTTTTGGTTCTTCTTTATATATCTTCTGGCATTTACTCATGTAAAGATTTGATTCCAGGTTTGCTTTTTAAATGGCTGGTGGAGGAGGAAGGAAAGGGGCATATCTGCTGGGTTGAAAAGCCATTTCTAGCATGCTTCTGTCACTTGAGGGTGTGATCGTTTACAAAGTCCATGAACTGTAATCATGAGTGCTTAACACTGAAGTTAAGTATGATTTTCTTATGATTATGGGCATTATTAGGCAGAAAATTAAAATTGAACTGTTCCCAAGCCTGACTAACTATCATGAGAAATTATATCTTAAGAATGGAGAATGATTTGACTTAACTTTCTATGTTAAAGTATACAGTATCTTGTCACTGAAGCCCGTAATTTTTTTGCTCAGAATTTTGTTTCCCCCTTCTATCACTGTTCATTAAATAGTGAGCAAGAAGCGACAGTAGTTTTCCTGCTGTGCACAGCTTTGCCAGCTTGTGTTCTCATTTGTGTTATCATGTGTGTAATACAGTAATAGCCAGGAAGATACTTAAACACGACATGTGGATATCTATTTGTCTTTGTATGTATTTTTAGGAATTCACTACATCTGCGTGAAGTTTGCTGTTTGATTATTTTTAACATTTTTTCCATTATTCCCACTAGTAATTATTGTCTGCTGCCCTTGCAGTTACTGCAGGTATGCAAATGTGTCATTTAATATTAAAGCCTTATACTTGATGTAAAGTACGGATCTTAAGACTACTGAGAGCAAACATCAGGCCCATCTATACAGATGGAGATAAATCTTGTGCCTGAGCTAGTGGCGTGTTTTGGCTGAGACGGGCTTTTTAAAATGAATTGCTGGAATATTTTAAAATTAATAAACTACTAGTGAAAAGCAATTACTTATCCATTTGAAATAGACTCAGCATGCGATAGTATTTATGCGAAGACTTTCTGAGCAAAGGAAGGCAAAATAATAGGCGGGCACATTTTGCTATGGTGAGAAGATAATCTTTTGTATTAACCCTCTCCCTTCTTGCAGTGTCTCGGGCGGTGGGCACAAGAAGTCAGGCAGCAGGCAGCCTGCCCAGGCAGGCTGGGACCCACCGCAGCACGATCGTACAGAGGGCAAGGCTGAACATGCTGGTGCCACTCTAACAAGTGGGCAGTCCTCAGGTCATACGTTAATAATACATGGTTGTGAATAACTTTTTTTTTTTTTTTTTTTTTTTATTCATTTGAAGAAGCTTATCATGTTCTCACCAGAAATAAAATGGAGACAGTAACAGACAATATTCAGGGATGCAGTTATCAGCGTGCTCAAGCTTTGCCTTCTCTCCTCTACACTTAAAGATTTATGGTAGGCTTGTGTCTTAGCCCAGCAGTCTGGGTGTGCTTTTGGCCCCTCCAGGCTGAGGATTTGCTGCAGTGCTAACTTGCATTTCAGAGACTGATAAGTTTGTTTAAGCAATGACGTTTGGCATAACACTCATTCCTGAGTGAGGATACTTTTGACAAATCCACTTTAGACCTGACAAAGTTCAGCAGTGGTTTTCCCCTGCTGACTTTTAAAGGCTTATTGCTAATTGCTCGTGTTAAGGTGGCTCTCCTTGGAAAAACACGCAGAAACTCTGTTACTTCCTGCCCCAGCCCAGCTGGTCATACTGGTAAGATGGGGATTGTAAGAGGGGTTATATAGACTGTAGTAATTTTTTAATTCCAGTTTTTGTAGATACCGTCTTGTGTTCTGCACTACATATTGTGAGAATTTTTCTTTGGTGTGGGCCATATTTCCATTTCAAACTGTGCTGTGCTACTTTAAGAGCAGGAAATGAACTTAATTTGATTTGTCACCAAAAAAAGCCCCTTGCTTTTATGAGGAAGTTGATCTAAGTGCAAGATCTTAGATGGAGCTGAGCAGTGACAGCCACGTACTGAACGCACTGGAGTTGTCATACCCGAGCATGGTCTGCAGCACTACCCGACAGCAAGCATTTCAGATTTTCCTTCTTCTCTAGCCATGTTTAGGTGGCTGGAAGCTGGAAACTGTGCCTTAGTCCTGATAGATTTAAAGATCTCTTTACTTGCAGCAGGGCTGTAATGCTTAACTGTCCCAGGGACTTGGAGAGTTGTCTCGTTGGATGCACTGTGACACTGGTAGCAAAGAGTTTCAAGGGTTAACCTGCTAGCTGGCAGCAGAGTAGAGAGAAATACTTTTTCAAACATTACACTAAAATGTTTTTATTATCTATGAAAAATAGGCGATATATCCTTATATAGACTTTGTGAGATGAGTTTGCTCTTGTTAAGTTTCCAGCTGCGGTAAGCCTCGGATACTGCTGACATTTTTGTAACGTGCCTCTGGATTTATTCAGAAATCGCTGTCAGAAGAGGCTGAACTCTGATCCCATTGTATTTACTTTGCCGAAACAAAGATGTGCATGCTGGAGTTTCTTGGAAAATTACTTCCTTTTCCTGCTTTTTTACACACTAAAGTACAACTCTTCACAGTTGGTGAAAAGGAAGGTAATCTGTGATGAGGGACAGACCCGTACCCTTGTAGAAATTAAAAATGGTACAGTGTTCTATAAATTAAAGGTCTAGTAACATTAGTGAATTCCTCTTTAGCTGTTCCCTTCTGGTAAGTATTCTGTTAGTCCTTTATATGTAGAAAAATCCCAAAGCCAGTATCTTTCCATGAAAAGCTATGCTGAGTATACTACAGTGAAGTCAGAGGGGTTGTTTCCAGTTTGTTTAGTCATTACAGTATTCTTTACTGAATGATGATACGGCAGGTAGGTATTTTGGGCAAGAATTTTGTGCAACTTCAGCTAAAAATAAACATTTTTCCTGACCTTTCTCTGTTTGATTTCTTACTGGATCAAATGCCAGAGGGCTTGTCAGGGACTGGATGAAGGCTGAAAACCTGGAGTTCCCTCTGGTGGCTGACTGCTGTTGGAAAGCACGATTTATCCTTTTTTTAAGGAGTGATATTGTGAATACAGTAATCTACAAATGACCAGAATGAAAACTGTATAAAATATGAATTTAAAATAGTCTTCTGTTTTTCTACAAGACATGTCTTTATAGCTTTTGGTGTATCACTGCCACATAACCATAAAATTAAATGCTGCTTGTTTTAGACTGACTTTTTGCTTAGAAAAGTGTTGGTATAGGAGGAGGCATTTTTGTAATGTCAGGATACTATGTTAGAATGAGGAACTGGCTTTTCTCAAGTTGATTAAATTTAAAAATGTTAATATTTATATAGATCGGTAATTACTGTTTTTGAGGAGAAAATGCTCTGAGTATTCCATTCATGACACCAAATGGATGTGTGTATGAGATAATCACTAGGGAAGACGAAACCTCCTGGTTACTTTGTTTTTTGGTGTTTTCCTTTTTCATTGTTTTTTTTTTTTTGTTTGTTTCTTTGTGTTTTTTTTTCTGCTTTGTTTTTTTAAACCATCTAAATTTTAGAAGCTGCTTAGTAGCTTTAATTAAAGATTTTGCTGCCTTCTAGAATTATTAAAGATTGTTTTGCAATACATGTATAGCAAGCTTCACAGGCATGGTTACGAGTGCTCTGAGTAGAAATGTCCACTGTATGCATATCTCTTACCACATTGTCTTCAACATTTTCCTTTTTGTAAGTGGAAGGTTTTATTTGACTCATGTGATGCATCATTAAAATTTCATATCAATGTTTGCTCCTTTCTTTATCTCACTAAAAACTGAGATTGCACATTATTTCACAAAATAGAGGACATTCTGCAAATGGCTTAAAGAAAATTATATTTTTGAGTTGTGCCTTGAACCCATAAGGTAGACTTGACAAAAAGCTGTACATGAATTTCCAGAGGTAGATTTGTGTGTGTGTGTGTGTATACGCACACTAATCTTTGGTAACATGCCAGTATTTACACTGCCACAACTGTTTTGCTAAACAACAACACAGTGTTTGGCCAGGCTAGAAGGCTGCCAGATCCAGCACTTGGAGCTGTCTGGCATGACAATAACAGCCTGTTTGCAAAAGTCAGTCCATCTTGTTTATTGTGTCTGAACTGAAGTATCTGCCTTCAGTAGTGACCTTCTCTCACTGCATCCAAATTCAGAGATTACTTTTTTTTTTTTTGCTGTATTTTGTATATTCAGTGTCTTTGCAAAGTTTATATCTAGTGCTTTAAGTCTGGCTTATTTTACTTTGAAGCCTAAATCTTAAATTTTCTTAATGCTAATCATAGGGAATTTATGATATGAGATGTGTTGTCAGTGTAAAAAGCTGATTTGTAATGGATACCTCTCAGTTCTGGGATTTTATTTGTTTTTTAATAGGGTACCATGGGTAATAGAAAAAATGAGTGGGATCATCCACATATTACTCTATAATTCAAAGAGAAAAAAACATAGGCCAATTGTGAACTGATTGGAAAGAGATGTAGGTTTTGAGTGTGTTTGCAATGAAACTTATCAACTTAACCTCAACTATTCCCCGAAATACCTCAACTCCCCCTGAATCGGATCTCTCTTGATTTTTTTTTTTTTTTTTTTCAATCATTTCAAAAACACTGTTCCATTTGGCTGTTAGGCTCTTGATCTGGGGAAACCATTAATTTTCTAGAAGTCTTCTGAGAAACCATCTTGACTGTGGTGCTGAATGTTCCCAGAAGAGGTTGACATGTTCTGGATTTCTTGAGTTCTGCTGAGCTTTTCGATTAATTCAGTCCTTTTTACACTTAGTTCCATTTTAGATGGAGATACTTCTAAAAAGATTCTGTTATGAAATGCACTTTTTTTTTTTTCTTCCCTCAATAGCAAAGTGAATAATGACAAAACACTTGATTTTAAATTTCTGCTCTTGGGAACTTGTATATTTTGAACTTGTATATTTTGTTTCGTTTCAGAGCAGGAAAAAGTTGATAGGATAGTTCCCATCAAAGAAAAAAAAAATCTGCTTAGGTTGTACGTGGGTTTTGCTCTGTAACTTTCTTTTAAGTATTTAAGCTGTCTGTATCCATGGTAGTTTTTTGTAGTCCTAAGTGCTACTTTGGCTGCGTTTTGTTTCTTTGAGATGAGATTTAGTGCAGGATCTTTCTTCTGAATTAGTAAATTCCAGTGAAATACTGAAACCATAAGAGAGCTGTTTATTTAGACTTTGAACTGGTCCCTGATTCTTGACTTGAGGATCAGTTTTTGTAGTCTCAGTCTGACTTGGAACTTTCCTTGAAGTCACAGTCACTTTTGTCTTGAGCAGAGAATACTAATCAGAGGTCTTAAACCTTATTTTTCTTTTTTTTTTTTTTTTTTTTTCCCCCCCTCTTCCCATTCTTCTTTTGGGAGTAGTGCAGACAGTGTAGTCCTTCAAGTCTAACTTGGTACCTTGCTTTTTGGAATGGGGAAGGATGTGCTGGCAGCCTTCAGGGGCAGCCTTTTTTTAGTTAAGTTCCATAAAAAAAATGTAACTTTAAGAAGCTATCCTGGTCTGGAAATCTGTTGATCTTTCAATTTAAAAACTTAACCTCTCTACTTAAGTAAACTGCTATTTGGGGTTCATTTGAGGCATATTTTTAAATGGTTCTAAAGTAAATAGGAACAGCTGCATATGTCAGCACAGCAGTTGCATACAGCTGGCTTTATGTCCATGCCCGTGTAGGTCTTTGTATTCTTATATTGTTAGCTCATAGATTACATGCCATCTTCATGTTTGAAACATTGTGATGTAGAATATGGAAAAAAAAAAGTATTCCTCTGTCTTATTTAATGGACCAAATAGATTTTTATCTAGGAGTATATTCCACTTAATTATGTACTGCTTAGAAATTTGAGGTGACTTGTCCAGCCTTGTGCCCTGAGATAACAGCCAGGACACTACTGGTCTGAGTGAGCTGGCTGCCTTTTGAGTGGATAGAAATTGTTAATGAAAAGTCTTTTCCAGGTTTAAGAATTCCCTTTCTGATATCTTAACTGCCTTCTCTTGTCCTTTGTTGATTATATTAATGATTCCTTCTAAATCTTTGTTTTACAGATTGAGGAGAGGCCAGAAAAAGACTTTGAGAAGGTAAGAAGGATCTTATGAATTATTCTGACAATAGTGCTTTCTTTATGTTGTTTTTGTTAGGTAGAACTTGCAGTGAGTGTACGGAAATCTTCCCTAAAATTCATTGTGGGGTAAAAATTTGAGTTGTTGGAGGTTTCTACTACTACATTTTTGAAGACGAATTTTTCAACCTTTGGCCATTCAGATGTGAAGTAGTTGATCTTCAACAGTAGCCAGCTGAAATTGCTTTAGGCTAAGCCACATGAATACTGTGTTTATTAGATTTTAATTATGGTATTATGTAATAAATAAATAGTAATAAAAAGAAGAGGGGGATACTGCAGTAGTGAGAAATTGGCTTAATGCACAACCCTCAGTACAGTAAAACAGTAAACGCGGCTACTGCTGCAGAGTAATAAATATCCACGAAAGGAGCAGAGCTTGAGCGGTGGTCAAAAGCATCAACAAAATAGGTTATTACAAGTTCTGAAAATACCTGGCAAGATGATACTAGCCCTTAAAGACTTTGTCTAATTAAGAATTAGTAGTTAGAAGCTAAGTCATGGAAACTCCTATTACAATAGTATTCAATCTGATCTGCCTTTTCTCATTAGTTTCCCTTGTTAAAACTTGGTCTATTGATTTTTCTTCTTAGAAAATTACATTTTAATAAAAGTGCGTACTTTAGAAGTGCAAGGATTGGTGTAATGTGTGTATTAAAAAAGAACAACAACAAACAACAAATCCACAATGTATCTAGGAAAAAAAAAAAGGTTATAGCAATTTTTAACTGTGTGTGATTGTAGGGAGCACGTACTGTCTCAAGCTTATCAGCAGCTACCTTGGCTTCTCTGGGTGGGACTTCATCACGAAGAGGCAGTGGAGATACATCCATCTCAGCAGATACAGAGGCATCTATTAGAGAAATAAAGGTGAGAAGTACTTAAAACTGGCATAAATTATTACATATCCCTTAGACTTCTTTCCAAAAAAGAAACCAGCTTATCTCCTTCTCCTGGAGGTTCTGACAAGATTAATTGTATGCTGTAGATGAATAGTTAATAGCTTTATTAGAGAGATGCTGCTGGGAAGCTGGTATGTATTGCATGAATATTTGGGTAAAGTCCTACAGCATATGATAGCAGAACAGATTGATCACAACAGACACATCTCATCTTAACCGAATGGAATAGAAAATGGACTCAATATAACACACTGATAGGAGGATTGAAGTAATTCAAGAAGCGCTGCGTTTACTGGATGCTAATTTGGGAGGGGGTTTTGTTTTGTAATCTAATTCATGATTCCATGAAGTTAAACGCATTTGAATAGCAAATAGCTGTGAAATCCAGTGTTCATATCATTGAGTGCTAGTCTAGGTAGTCCATAGCTAAATTGGGTTTTGTCGTTCATTTTTTAATGCTCCATTCTGAAGACTATTTTAAGATGAGGAATCTGAATTCTGCTAACTTTCATGCATACAACTTAAAACTCTTCTGAAATTAGAGCCAGTTAAAACATGTGGCATTTGTATTAGGACCTCAGGTCCAAGCGGGTCTGTCTCAGTTTCAGCACTGTTAAACAGCTGAAAGATAGCCATTTGCCCGTGACCAATGACAAAAGAGGAGAGAGACTGTGAAATAGGACTTATAATTTAATTTAGTGTCATGGATGGTTTTCGTACAGTCTTTTCTGCATCACTAGTATAGCCTGCATTTCAGATTTACTTTGGCAGCCCTTAACCTTAATACCAGAATTCCTCAAAGTGAGTAATAATCAGTGAAAAGGGTAGAGAAGGACTGTGTGGCTGGGGTGGGTAATTGTTGGAGGCTTTGAAGCTGAGTCTGCATCTCGTCCTTAACTTCAAAGATTTTATTTTTTCCAGTCAAGAAGAGTAGAATTAACATGTATTTCTAACCAAGACATTTAATTGTCCGGCAAGGCTTCGGGTTAGGTTCAGATCCCTTAACCTGTGTGGCAGAAATATTTACATGAGAACTTTGGATACCTGCTTTTCCCTATCAGCTGCACTTCTGCCCATTAGTTTCAGTGGCATCATTCACCTCTCTCACCGTTTTCCTCAGGATATCTATGAATTAAAGGACCAGATTCAGGATGTAGAAGGCAAATACATGCAGGGACTGAAAGAAATGAAGGTACTGGTTTACTGCAGACTGGGAGTGTGATCATTAACAGCCAGCTAAATATTCAGAGAGTTGGTGTGAGACCTAGAACTGACCTTGCATGCTTGCTTCTGGGAAGGGTTGTGAATTGTGTGGAAAAGCATTTCCTTAACTGCAAAAGTATCTGTTCTGGCCTTGATTGATTGTGGTGAGAAATGCTTCCAAATGTTAACTGAAAAGCTGCTGATTACTACTGCATGTTGTCTTTGCTGTTTTGAGAAGGTAATAGTTTTGTTAGAAAATTAAAATTATCAGGGTTGGTTGGGTTTGGGGTTTTGTTTTTTTTTTTTTTTTTTTTTAATAGTTTCCTAATCCAGGAAGCCTCCCAATATTGGAAGATTAACTAGAACTCATGTCCTACAGTGCTATGAAAAATCGGAGTTTAAAGGCTTATATGTTTTTGTTTTGATAAGGTCCAGCATGCCTTTGGAAGGTTGTGCACGTGCGATGACGACTATCATTTTGGTTTCATACTTAGATCACAGAAGACACCCTTACACAGTTCTTGTAACAAAACTCTGTGTACCAGAGCTTGTTGTGTGAAGAATAGAACGCTCACACCAGTTGGCACTGAAGAAGCGCTCACCACTTCCATGAAGCCATAAGTGGATTTTGGTGCAGCAACTAACTTGTGCATTCGCATACCAGCCCCTCATAAGTAAGCAGCATCATAAGCTGCATTTTTTGGAAAAGGCAGTCTTGCAAATATGTATGTAGACATCCAGGCATATAATGCAACTTTTATCAGTGTTGACTGCTGACTGTGTCATCAGCTCGACGCTGTGACAGGTGAAGATGCTGCCATCTTAAGTGAGTTGTCAATGGAAAAATAATAGTTTGACCCTTTTTCTGTAAAATCTAGTTTGTTTTGGTGTGTTGTTTTTTCCCTTGGTCACTGTGTAGCAGGTGTAGCAAAATAATCACACTACATAGAAAAATGTAGGTAATTTTTCAATTTTTGTCCCTCAGACTTTCTTTTGTGGTGATATGTACCTAAGCCACACTGATGCTAAGAAAACAAAACACATCATGTTGAAGGAGTGGTGCAGCAACAACCTTACCTTCTTACTTGCATATACTTCCTTTCCAACTAATTTCTGAGTCTTGATCCTACCACTGTTACCAAATCCTAGTGGCTTTCCTGTGCTTGGTATTTCTCATACTTGGACTGTAAAGTACACCAAAACACAGTTTGTGTTTGGAACTATACAAATTCATGTCCTGAAAGACAAATTATCTTATTTGTCCATAGAAATGTAAACTAAACTGATTCAGACTGAATTTTGTCATCATCTCGCCACTGTCATCCCCAGTTCCATTTATTGAATGAAGAAGGAAGTATATGAAACTCACCTGTGCTGTAGGTGTAATTATTATAATTATTTAAGTTCCAAGAGAAATTGCTTGTCCTGTAAACTAAAGTGTTGACATGGGTGTTCTCCTTGTTTGCATAATTGCACTGTTTTGTTTATGTAACTCTTCTATTTCTGTATTAAAATCAAATACTACAAAGTTTGACTGCATAACACAGAAAATTATCCTGATCTTTATTTTGCCATCATGTGTTACTATAAATCAGTATCTTATATTCAGGTCAGGTTGATAAGGGGGGGGGTTTCAAGACCCAGGGAATTGGATCTTATGGAGTAAATTTGTAAAGAAGGGAACTAATACAGCAAACCTGATGAAAAGTGATACACAAGGTCACAAAAGCTGCAGCTTTTTCACAGCGAATCCTAATTCCTGAGTCACTGTACTTAGTGGTTCCCACAATGCAAGGATCCGTGAAATCTGTGTGAAGTGGCTGTCAAACTGCCTTAATTTAAGGCCTAAGATCATCTAAAATAATCTTAAATTGAGGCCAGTTTACCTTTAAAAAAAAAAAAAAAATTTGAACTTGTCATCTTCAGCCGCTGCTTTGAGCTGCCAGCATGCAGGGGCAGGGGGAGGAGGGGGAAGGAAGAAAACTCTGAGAAAGCAGAAGCTGAAGCAGCAGAGAACAGGAAACATTTTATGCATCCTGAGGTAAGGCACAGTGCTTGTAAACAGAAGTGTGGTGGGAACACAGGGAAAGGTGATCCTCACCTTGGGACAGTTGGTAAGCCTCTCTAGCACATGATTAGCACTGGTTTCCGTAGGAGTACTGAGCATGCTTGTGGTTTAGTATTTAATTTTCTTGTTGAAGGTCTTGGTTGGCAAAGTGTCCTTTGTAACTGACTCTAGACTGTGATTGCTTATTCTTTGCAGGACTCTCTAGCCGAAGTTGAAGAGAAATACAAAAAGGCTATGGTGTCCAATGCTCAACTAGACAATGAAAAAACAAATTTCATGTACCAAGTAGATACCCTGAAGGATGCACTCTTAGAGTTAGAAGAACAGCTGGCAGAATCCAGGCGGCAATATGAAGAAAAAAGCAAAGTATGTGTATAGCTATGGCATATTATTTAACAGGGAAATATTGGGGTGGAGGAGGGGGGGCTTTTGGGAGGAGGCAAACATGAAGATTCAAGATTTTAAATCAGTTATTAGTTACCGCTAAAGCAAGTGGAATAGCAGCGTATTTTGTGCTTGTGATCATACAAATGGGAATCTTCCCTAAGTTTCTGACTTATAAAGCAATTTCTGAAGAAGTAAAGAAATTTTTTATGCGGTAAGGCTATATTGATATTGTCACATGTCCTTTTATAGGCCATCTTTAAAGTAAATTCAGAGGTTTTGCCCTTAGTGAACTTCTGGAGCATATTTGCACACAAAGCTCTCTTCAGAAGGCCTGTAGGAAGAGTTGTGCAGTTTATATAGTTAAGGCAGCTACTTGGTTGAGAGTGGAGTTAAGTTTTACATTAATTCAGCATCTGACAGCTGGTGAGTTGGTGTTAAATAATAAAGCTGTGGCTTGTGTTAGCTTTTCAGAACTGGCTCTTTAGCTGCGGGCATTTCACTATAGTGTACTTCAAAACACATAGTTCCTGGAAGATACAGTGTGGTGGTTTTTTTGTTTTGTAGTCTATAGTGTCTGCTTAACTTTTAGTACACGGCTGTGTGGAGGGAGTGGGTTAAATTGCCATCCATTCATCTGTGAAGTCTGTAGGACTTGAGGGTAAAAGCTATTCACTGCCAGCCTGCTGCTCAATTTAGGAGACTGGCTAAATGATGTCTGTCATTTCTATTTTTGATGGAATAATAGTTTCTTGGGAAAAGGACAAATAAGATAAAAATTATATTCTTGTAGGATTATGATTAGATGAACATTCAAAAATTGCATTGCAGTGAGCATTTTCTTTGTGCTTGGGTTTATTTTCTCTTTTTTTTTTTCATGGGATGCTATTTTTGATCAATACAAATTTCATGAATATTTCATTATTCATAGGAATTTGAGAGGGAGAAGCATGCTCATAGCGTACTGCAGTTTCAGTTCATGGAAATCAAAGAGGCTTTGAAGCAAAGAGAAGAAATGCTTGCAGTAAGTAACTCTTTTTAATGGCTTCTGTGGTATACATAATTGGTATGTTCCCAGTTAGCAGTAGGAGTGTAGAAGGTGAGGCATGGGGAATTTTATTCCCTACTCAAGTTTCTCAACTGAAGAAATACTAGTGTTTCAGGCCAAACAGGTTCAGAACTGACTAATAGAAATAATACTTTCTTAAGTATTGTCTGAAGTTGGACTTGTTTTTTTGCCTTGTCCATAATACAAAATAAGCTGTGCTTGGGACAGCTATTTGTAGAGATGCAGAGGGAACTGATGGAACTGTCCAACTTAAGTCATCTCGTGAGTAGTATGATTGTCTTCAGGAGTGTAGGTTTAGTTGAGATGTCAGAAACTGTAAGACTGTGCATGTAGACACATTTTTACTTTAGCACCTGACTTTTTTCATTCTATGGCATCACTGCAATCTTAACCTTCTTTGTTAACCTGTTACCTGCTTTCTGTCTTCTTGTTTGCTCCTGTTCTCAGGAAATCCAACAGCTGCAACAGAAACAGCAGAGCTATGTCAGGGAAATTTCTGATCTTCAGGAGACAATAGAGTGGAAAGACAAAAAAATAGGGGTAGGACTGTCAACTCCTGAAATGTGTTCAGAGTGGCACTGTCGTTCTTCCAGCTGATCCTGCTTTTGTGAAACCTCATGAATAAAATCCTCCTTAGTGACTTTGCTTGGTGTGGCTGTCTTACTGTATTACCAGTGAACTAGCAAATAGCAAATTTTGTCTTCGGCCAGTATCATAAAATCCAAGAAAAATTTAGCAGCTGGTCTGATTTCCAAAGCTGGCATAATTTATTTGCTGTGGTGCACCATTTGCATTTGCCATATTGAGAAAGGAAGTGATATTTATAATGCAATTGCATCAGCACTGAATTTTTGCTTATTCAGATTTTATCTGCAGACTGAGCAGGAACTGGAGTGTAATAAAGAAGTAATAGAGCTATTTATGGGCTATTGGGATGAAAGCTTCTAACTTTCCCTTGCTTATTGTTCCTTCCCACCACCCCCTGTGAAAGCCAAATGGAAATCCTCTCTTTAAGAAAAGCAGGGCTTTCTTTGCTGACATTGAGGGCTGAACAACTGTGTGAATATAGGAGGAGAAAGAAATCTGGCAACTTGCCCGTGCTTCTGATGTCCAATAACTTGTAACAACTTGGAACTTAAGATTGTCTAAATTTTGTTACTGTTCTATTTGTACTTACATAGAAATATTGGGGGAGTTCAGTAGCAAAATGCACATTTGCACATGGTACATCCCAGTCTAAAGATGACTTAATAGCAGCTTTCAAATTAATGGAAATGTGCTGCGCCCACAGTGGTAACCCATGGAATAAAAAGACTATTTAAATCTGCTGGGCCTGTTTTAATGCTCTTCTGTTAACACATGGGAATGGCACTATGTCTTCAGTGTGCATGTTGAAGGAATATAGATATGAATTAACTTGTCTAGCAGATAAAAATGAAAAGTTGATCCTCATTTGAAGGATCCCTAATGAAGGATTGGGCTCTAAATGTCTTTAGTAGGAATTTCTGGTTATTGAATAAGCTGTGCATTTCTTGGATTTGAAGTTTATCTCTGTGTGTGTAAACTTGGTCCTTTAATCTGTAATCTTTACCTTTTCATACATGCCACTTCCATCAATCTCTGAATATCTTAAATCTACTCGTTCTTGTTTACACTTGCTTTTCATGGTCTTCACTTGTCTCCCTTCCTTTCTTCACATCTTCTCGCCCTCTGTCTGTGTTGGGAACTCAGGCATTAGAGAGGCAGAAAGATTTCTTTGATTCCATAAGGAGTGAGCGGGATGACCTTAGAGATGAAGTGGTTGTGCTGAAGGAGCAACTGAAGGTATGCAAGAAGAATAAAAAAAAAATTACATTCAACTGCTGACCTTTTCCTACTGTACATCTTTGCAGAAAATTTGAATCTAGCTCAGTAGCAAGAACTCTATCTTCATGTTGCCTATAAGTTGCCGTTTCAGGAATTTTCTATGTAAAGTCTTTCCCCCTAATATTGACTGTGAGCTCTTAGTACAGACTGCAGTATTAAGTAGTTGCTTTTGTAAGAGATACTTCTCTGAGGAACATTTTACGCGGCAGATTTATGTTTGAAAAAAAAAGAGATCTGGGATCACATGCTTTCTGTCATAGTGGCTAAACTGAGACCTGTAATACTCTGTGCTCTTTTCTGACTTCCAGCCAAGTTTAATGGAATGATTGAAGCAATTGTTTATTCAGAATATCAAGGACAAGAACGCTTGAACAAGCCTCCCCTTTCTGAGCAGCAGACTCTAAAGCATTGCTTTTGCTTCTCCACAGAAACACGGAATAATCCCAGACTCTGATGTAGCCACCAACGGGGAGACATCGGACATTCTTGATAGCGAAGGACACTTGGATTCTTCCAAAACTGTTCCAGGCACAACTCAGGCATTAAAGACAGGAGGGGATGGGATGCTAGGTAAGTGCTGTATATCCTTTCACATCTTTCTGTCTGTCTGTCCATCCATTCATCTTTGCTTGGAGTTTGGGCATTTGTTAGTGGGACAATTAACACATCACGCAGCATGCTACTTGTCGAATCGCCTCCTATGCATTCTTCTGCTTAATATTTATTATCACTTCAAGTATGTTATGCAGTTTCCTGGAAAGGCAGACTTCATTTCCCATTCAAGGCAACAAAGGACAAGAATACAAATATTACGTTACAGATAAGTAGCAGTCATTCAGATTACTATTTAAACCCTGAATTTGAAAATTGTCCCAGAATAATCCTACTGTTGTTCAATACTTTTTCAGCACATATCCTAAACAATCAGGAAAGAAGCATTTTAGTTTCCTATAAAGAACTTGTATGTTGGTTCATTTATATACCTGAGAAATGTGTCTGCTGAACAACGGTGCTGGGCACTGTTAAAACACACTAATGTATGCATTAATTGTTCTTGGTATCTAGTAATGTTGAGCAGTTAATATTAATCCTTCAACATTTTTACTTGTTATAAGGGGATTAACACTGTTAAATTCAAGGGATATGACTCTGAGGTGGATAGTGTTAGGAAGGAGGAATCTGGTTGGCAAAAACATTCTTCTTATGCACTTGTGATGAATGGCCACTCAGAGAACTTTTATACTAGTGGAAGGAAAGGAAATAATAGGTACTTTTTTTCCCTCCTGTTTTTGTTCTAAATGAACATACAAATAAATAGCAACAGGCAGCCAGCTGTTGCAAGTTATATTGCTTTTAGATGTTGGCTGCTTTTTCCTCACTGAGTTGTTGTGTGGAAACAATCTGGAACACCAAAACCAAGGTAAGGGTATATTTTAAAATGTAGTATGTTTTCTGTCTCTCCTTTTTTTTTTTTTTTTTTTTTTTTGTTTGTTTGTTTGTTTTGGAATTAGGTACAACACAGACCCAAAAGCTAAATGCTGAAATCACAAGCACTGTTGTTCTGATACCTGTTGCTTCTAAATACAAGTTTAAGTAAAACTGTTACAAAAAAAAATATAAAACCAAAACCACAGAAGTCCCCGTCCATTTGGGTGGATAAAGGGCACTAGGTACCTGAGCTTTGATCTGTGTTGGAAATGTTAAACAGCTGAACCATTGGCTTGCCAATCAGATTTTACATTCAGTGTTTATAATGTACACTGATGATGCCTGTTTATGATACTTAGGAGTAAAATATTACTGAATATTCCTTGATTACTTCATTTTAATGGCATCAGACACACACTCCTGCATTCATAGAGTGATGTCAGGGTTAAAGGTGTAGAGAATATTACTGAGAAAAAATAATCCTTACTGTTAGTGTTACCTCTGCAAGCATTACTGTTAAATTGCACTGCTTGAAACAGTGGTTCTTGTCTACAGAAGCTGTAATTCACACGGCCAAGAGCATAAATCTTTTACGTTACAGAAACACGGTCCAGAACCAGAGACTTCTTGCTTTGAGAGGGTGGTGGTGAATTTCACTGATCAAAAACCCCAAACCCTTACTAATTCAACTGCTGCTTTGCCTCACGTAATTGGCAAAAGCTGATCTTTATTAACCTATTCTTTGATTCATTCTCTTTTGGGTTTTAAGTGGGGAGGTAAGTGCTGTGGTGTGGTCCCTTCAACTTTCTCAATGGTCTTTTAGGCAAAGCCAATGAAGTGGACATGAAAAATGAGATTTTGGAGGATATGGGGAAAAGAGAAATCTTGCAGAATACTGAGCGTGAGGAACACAAAGAGGAGTCTGAGGAGCAGGAAGTACAGACATTGCATGCTGATGAAAATGCAGAGGCAGAAAAAATGGTTGAAGAACGTGATGCCTTGTCAACAGTGATGTTACCAGATAGTAGGTTTACCAAACAAATTCAGAGCGTTACAGAACATGCATCAGGGAGTGCTGCTTCAAATGATGGTAGTGACACAGATGATTTGAGAGAGGAGACTGAGTCCGCAGGCACAGCAGTCCAACAGCCTGTTAGTACAGAGGCTGAACTGCATGGCTTAACTGCAAGGACAAGTCAGAACTCAGAGGTGGGCTCTCTGCAAGATCATCAGATTTTTGAGACTCCTCAGGAAATGCCTGGTGACTTTGGTACAGAGCATGAACTGGAAAAAGCTGCACCTGAACAGGAAGAACGAGAAGATCTTAAAACTAGCCATGCCCTCAGTTTTAGGGAAATGGATCAAGAAGCCGACATTACAAGTGAGAGCTGCGAGTTAGTTTCTAACCAGGCAGGGCTACCAGAGGGCACACCAGCTGGCTGGCTTAGTGATGAGGTAGATGTGGAGAGTCATGCTGAGGGACTCCAGCACCCAGAGGAAAGTGCTGAAAACAAGGTTACAGATGTCTTGGGGGAAGAGCTTGTTGAAAGCAAAGATGGAAGAATTGATAAAACAAGAGGGGATAGAGCTGATGAAGAAAATAAGGTTGGGAACGCAGTTCAGGGTCAGACAAGGGGAATGGAGTCTGTGGGTTTGGAGGAGACAGAATTGTGTGGAAGTGGTGTCTCAGCAGATACAAGTGAAAAGGAAGGTGGAAGAGATCAGGCACACATCCAACCAGTTTCTTCAGAAGACAGTCCTTCAGCATCATCAGAGGAACAAAATATGCAAGATAAAACTGAACTTGAAAATGCTAAGGCCGAGAAGGATGAACAGAAGGAAATATTAATAGAAGAGGTGGAGATGCATTCAGATTCTGCAGAAACAGGAGAGCAAGATAAGGCATCTGTGGAGGCTGTAGGCTGTATTACTGAGGTAAAAGAAAGTGTGTTGCAGCAGGCAGAGGCAGACACAAACATTGTGAAAGAGGTGATGACTCAGGAAACCAGTTTAGACGCAAGTCTTTTAGATGATAAAATTAAGGAGTCAGAATTGGAACCAGGGGATGACTCTGGGAAAGAAAAAAGTGGGACAGAATGTGTAGAAGATTTGAAGCCAAAGGCAGAAGTTCAAACAATTCAGTGTACTGAAGAGATAACAGGTGATACAGTGGGGGAGAAAAGTACTCCTTTAGAAGGTGAAGCAGAGAATGTAGTTAAACAAGAGGAAGGTGAATCTAAAGAGGATTCAACTGTAGATGTTAGTGTAACTACTGAAAACAAAGTTGATAAAGAAACACTGAAAGAAAATGAACAAGAGTTAGAGCTTGCAGACCACCGTGGTGGTGAATTTGCTTCTGAGGAAGATGCAAATAATACCCTGGCACAAAAAGCTGAGCAGGATGGAAACATTAGTGAACAAGTTCAATTGGAGTGTCAAGCAGTGGAAAGACTGGAAGATGATGGTGATGCATTTGATTCTGATGGAGGGTCAAAACAGATGCTAAAAACCGATGAAAAACGCGATGGAGAGAAGGCTGATACACAGAAGGAAGAGGGTGATGGAGCAAATGATGCTATCGGAAAAACTATCCAAACAGATGAAGTCGGAGAAGGAACAGACAAAATAGAAACCGAAAATGCCTTGACTGAAGATGACAGCTTGCAGCATAAAAAAGGAGATGAGCCTGAAGAAACAGGGTGCTTGCAAGGGGAAGCATCATGGAAAACTGATGAGAGGACTGGTGTGACGGAAGATGAAATCAAAGCATCAGTTTCTAACAAAGCGGAAAAAATACCAGATCAAAATGTTGCAGAACAGGATTTGGAAAGCGCTGGCAATAACAGAGATGGAAGCAAGGAGGATTTGCAGGGTGGTAGAAGGGGGAAGGGTAAATCCAGAGATGACTGCACAATATCATAAGTTCAGAATCTCAAGGCTACCTGAGTTACATGCCATTTGATTAGTCCCAGTACAGAAGCATGCACTTTGCACAATACATCGGGCCTTAGGAATACTCTTAAAAGTTTTTTCTTTATAGGTAACTCTCATCATAATACAGTGTTACGTAAGTGGTAATGTTGCAAGTATTGAGTTATTCACTGACATACCTAGCCACAAGCAATCGTGTGTGGGTTTGGTTTTGCTGTATCTAAGGTTAAAAGTTTATCACCAAAAGAGAAAATCACAAATTGACTATTCATACTATCTTGCAATTAAAGGACTTTCAGTGTGAATAACTGCTACTGAAGAATTTCTGTAGGAAATTCTTTTTTTCTAGCCTAGATGGTAGATGTCTTGAATGTACTTACGTGCGTTGGACCTTTGTGAACTTATGCGCATGCTTATGTGTACTTGTGTGCATTAGATCTACAGTAAGTACATTAACACTTCATAAAGGAAGTCAGTATATCAGCAACACTGATCTGATGTTGAAACTTCTTTCTGAATGATTAAAGTCTAGGAACCAATTTTTTTTTTTTTTTTAATGGAAAAAAAAGATAATCTTATTCCACTCTGTGTGTATTTTTAATATGGTCATATTCCAAAATCTAGTTAGATCACTGTGAATCTGCTTAGTCTAAACACTTTAGAAGAACAATATATAGTTTGAAGGAAGTGCAACATACAGGTCTTAGTTTGCTGAAAGGAATAAATATGTATATGTTTACTTCATCTAGGCACTTTGCACCACAGTAGGCCTTTTATACCATGTCTCACATGGGTTTTTAATTTTTTCTGAAGAAAGTGTCAATACGTATTGTAATATGCTCTTAGGTTTGCTATCAAGTACTGTCTAGCTATGAATATATAAAATATCTATTTTTCCAAGAAGTTATTTTTGTTAAAATTTCATTTCCTTACTGCATTATATTTTTTGCAAACTATGATTCTGAAAGAATGTTTTTATCTCTGAAAAATTCTTACCTCTTCCTTTCTGGAAAGAAGGTAACTTTGCATGTTTTAATTCTTGTTGTATATCAGACCAAAGACGGTTGTTGTTCTGTGTACTAGCCTCTATGCCTTTTTGAAAAGCTGGATTGCTTTGAATTGCTGGCATAAATCAGACACTTTAACTCCGTTGGTATATTTCTTCTTGCATCTTTGCTAGTTCTTGGGAGGACGAGCATGTTTTGCATACTTAAAACTTCACTTAAAGTTGTTTTAAGCAATGAAAGCCCCAAGGGAATGCAAATTGAGGAGTTGGGGTGGGGGGGCTATGGAAGGCTGTATTTGTGTTGATGTTACAAAGTGGGTAGAGGACAAACAGACTGCAAAATCTCAAGATGTATATCAAAATGTACTGAACTGTATATAATTGAAATAAACATATTTTATACTTCAAATTGCCTGTCCAGAGCACTGTTTATAAACCTGCATAAATATTTATTTAAATCTATATAATTTCAAAAACATTTTTCTACAGCTTTGTTAAATTTATTGCGTCGTGCTACATAGCTAGAAACGCTATCTTACTAGGAATGACCAGTTTTGGTGTTTGAGGACCTTTAATATATGATGGCACCCTTAACTGTAAACCTGTAATGGCTTCTTTCTAACTTAAAACCGTTCCAGTACCGTTTCTGTAAGTATTAGCAGTTGTTCTTTTAAAGGGTTTACCCTAAATGCTAATCTAAAGTCTTAAAAGTGTCTCTTGTTACTATGTAGCAGTGTTCATTTATAGATTTGTCTTTGTTATACTCATAACAGTAATATATGGTTTCATGCTGAAAGTATTCTAAATGTATTTAATTATAAATGTTAAATACACTTCACTGCAATTAAAATTGCTTAGCAGGCTTCACCATTACTTGTGGATGGATCTGTAAGCACCTATGAGTTCTATGAGGCACGTGCCAACATTTCCTGTATTTTTCATACAAGTTTGTTTCTAATAGAAATGTTTCTGGATGGTTGAGGGAATTAACATTGAGCTTTTTAAACTAGTTTTTCCGCTTAAAAAAAAAAAAAAAAAACCAAACAAAAAACAACAAAACAACAAAGCATCTGTAAGAGAGATCCTTTCTAAAGCCAAGTCACAGAAGGAGAAACAACTCTAGTCCTAACTGTCCATGTACCAGCTTTTATCCCCCAGTAACTGGCCAACTCTCAGTGAAACTAGGGTAGGAGCAGGAACATGGACAGGCAGTGCGGAACAGCTGATGTACTAGAAATCCATGCTTGAATGTTAGCTGCTTGGTACCTCTGTTGGCAGCTGGTCCCCAACTTCTGGATGTACTGTGGAGGAGGTGGTCATGGTATTCTTTACCTCTTTGGTTTTTGCTTGAGTATCATCTGTACATCGAGGGAGATGGGGAGGTCTCCCAGAAAAATCATCCTGAAGATAAAAAAAACTGCTAGATGTTATATTAAAATTTAATAATTTAAATACTTTCTTTGGTGGTTTTGACTTTCAAAGACAGCAAAATACCAAAATCAGTCTTTTCATGGTCTAACTTGAAACCAAGAACTCATGAGATGAACTAAAATCAAGATTCATATTTGCTGCTATTATGTTACCTATTTTGTTTTGATCAGAGACAGTCTGCTGATGTGTGCTGCAGCAAGCACCACTCTCGGAGTACATTACTTTTGTCTTTCAGAATAGCTCTGTAGCTTCAAATGCTCTCTGGGTTTTCTGTTCAATACCTAGTGGCACATGTAGCCTGTATAGCAGGCTTGTGCGTTGCTGTGAATTCAGAGCTAGACTGAAAAGCTTTCAAAAGCAGTAGCTGAAGGAACTTTTTTCTTTCCTTATTCAGCAAGTAATAGTGAAAGACCTTGGCCAATATTTCCTTTATTACAGAAAAGGAACAGTCCTCCTGCCCCCCTCAAAATAGGTATGGAAAACTGGTGTCTTCTCAATCCTGTATTTATTCACTGTCCCAACAGCCTGTTCCCAGCAGTATCCCTCCTCTGAGGAAGAGAGGAAGGCCTTTGTCAATATTTCTTTGTTGTTGTTGTCTTCTCGTGATCCAAAATAAATTGACAGATCTGGAGAAGAAGTATTATCCAACCTGCTATTGATCTGACAGATGGATTCTTGCAGGCTGTTCTGAATAGCTGCTTGGGGCTGCTGGTGTGACTTCATGGGATCTCTTCCCACTCCTCAAGTACAGTTTACCCCTTTCATTTTCATCAGGATTGATTACTTGCTGGGCCCACGCATCATGCAAATCATTCCGGTTAAAAACAGCTGCTTCCCACCCCGCATTCCCCTCCAAGTAGGAAGAGCCATCAAGGATCTGTGGCTGATTAGGGGGTGTTAGATCAATTGTGCCGCTGAAGCAGCACCCTAGTTAGCAATACCTTGAGTCAACTGCAATGCCAAGGTAATATGAATAGTTGTTTGACTTACTAACAGGCCTGTACAATAGAAGAAGAAACTGGTAACTACCACCACACCCCTTCTGTGTCCTGCTCTCTCCCAGGCCTTCCCAAGGCCCAGCTCCTCGCATCAGCCTTCTGTTAAACTCCTTTTGCCTACGAAAGTGATGAATCGGTGCAGTGGGTAGCGTGGGAATGATGTTACTGAAGTTAAATTTAACTGAGATGAATGTAACACTCTAATCATTTGTTGTAATATCTTTGTGTGTGAAATAAGGATAATGACTGTTACAGATGAGAATTTCAATCAGCTGCTTGTGTCCTGATTCAGTAGATGGCACTTTTCTGCTCACCTGTTTTCAAGGTCCTCGATTTGTTGGAAAAATGCCTCCTAAGTGCAAAATTAAGGTGTCTCTGCAGAGATATCTATTAAAGCTAATGTAAGTTTTCTGTGTTAGTGTGAGGTTTTAAGATAAGTGAAACCTGAGACCTTCATCTATACATGCAGAAAACTTTTCTACACGAATGGCAATTTTAGCAAACTAACTTCTTCTGTGGTCCTGCTGCCAGCATGCTGTCTGTCCCAGAGGGGTGCACAGATATCCATAACGAGGGAAGAGAACTGGTGGTGGAATCAGATTTGAAGGTTCATCCCAAAGTGCTAGCATCCATTTTGCAGGGAAAGGGGTTGGGGGAAGCTGATGTGCTTCCTTACTGGAAACTGGAGGAGGTGTCCTTTGTTCAGGCAGGCATGTTTCACCCCACAGCAGTGGTTGGGTTAATGAAAGTTACTTAGCTGTGTGCATGACTGAGTTATTTTCAGGATCGGGGTGGTGGATTATTTGGCTCTTTTCAGTTTGGGCTAATATTGTAGTGGCCTAGAGGTTTCTTTCTGCATCAGTCCTCCTTCTCTTTCTAATCCTTAGAACTTCATTTCTTGATCTCTGCTCCTGTGACTCACAACCCTATTTCCAAGTCTGAATATCTGACATTTCTTTTACTGTTTGCTCTCTTTGCTTTCTTCATTGACCTTTTATTTTTCTTCCCTGTCTTTCATCTTTTACAGAATTTCAGTCTTAGGCTTCCTTTCCTTCCCATATATATACATGAAATTGTTTTATTATTTTGAAGGGGTTTATACTTGTACATTTTTTTATGCTTGATAGTTTATGAAAATGTGGTTTGTTTGTTGATTTAGTTTATTTTGGTTTTCTGTATCAATGCTCAGGTGTAACCATGCTGGATATGTTACAAATGGCTAAAAATAAAACCAAACAAGGGGAAAAAAAAAAAAAAAAAAAAAAAAAAAGAAAAACCACAAACAACAACAAAAATAAACAGGATAAAACTTGAGAAGGTTCAAAATGAATGCACAAAAGCGCTGAACTGGGATGTCGCTTTAAGATCTGTATTTGGGTATTGTATCAGAAGCCAAGGTAAAGGTTTTATTCCATGCTCTAGGATGGCTGCTGCTATATGAGAACTTGTATACCCAGGAGGGAATGACATACCGTATTATAACTAGCTAATGGACTGTATACATCTGCCATATAGAGGAATTTTCATTTGAAAACTTCAGTTTTCCCCATGATTTGATTCACTACAGATTCTTTATTCCCTTTATTGCATGTGTTAACAAGAAAAAAGGGGGAACCACAGGACTTTGGCCTGTTCCGGATTTAACAACAAAGGAGGACTTGTATTTTTAAAGCTTTTTTGTCTATCAACAGAATTTACCTGGTAAAAGCCCACCAGCCTTTTATCTGTAATTTGTCAGTTACTTTCAGTAAGTTTACAAAAAGACTTTTCTCTTGCGTGACCTTTGGATTTTAACCATTTAATTAACAGGCCAGACCTTAGATGTGGAGTTCAACTCTGAACACCCTGAGTTCTGCACAGGTGACTGCTTGCTGGCAAGGGAGGCAAGCTAAATAAACCTGCATTAAACATACACATCAAACTGGTGGAGTAAGACCTGTCCGAGGTCAATGTATCCTCCTCTAATGAGTATATTTGAATGCAATGTTCCAGTGTACTTCTGTTGGGGTGTACCTGAACAAACTAAGGTTGTTAATTAATGAGGTAAAGTAATTTTAGCAATAAGAAATTTGTGAGTACCTGCTAAAATGCTTTCACATTTTGCACCCCTTAATAGGGAAGGAAAAAACCCAAGTGATTTGGTTACTTTCTAGTTCGTTTTTCCAGTTGTCTCATTCTGTAGTTTGCACTTTATTAATGAATGCCACATATATCCATGTGCTGATCTGTAGCACTTCCAAGTTCAAATGTAGCACAACAGTTGGACCAGATTGCCCATCGCCTGCTTGATGTTTGACCAGAAGAACTTACTATGAAGGATTAAAGAGAAAAGAATGTTTTACCAGCCTCTGCATTTGAAGCAAAAGTAATTTAATGGGTGAATGTTCTTCTGGTCGTAATACCAGAGATAACAGAAAATGTCATTGCCATGCTGTTTAGGAGGAGAAGGGAAGATTTAAAGTGCTGAGAATGTGCTTAGCTATGATTATAGGTGTTTACAGTATTTTCATTATGTTAAACTGTAAAGATGTGTGAGATTTTGTGTTGCAGTTGTGTTTGACCCTAGAGTTCTTGCATGCTAACCTAACGTAGAAGAATAGCCTCTTTGCATGTAGCTGGGTGCTGCTACTGCCGTGACAAGCATGTTCTGTGAGAATGACATAACCTCCCCTGGCTGCAGCCCCTTCCCAGCCCTGTCTGTGGCCTCATTGCCTGTGGTACGTGCATAACTACCTTCATCATTAGTTTCACTAACCTTAATGGTTTGGTCTGATATCAGATGCACTCGGAAGAGTGCGGCTCGATCAAATCAGCACTGAACTTTCAGTTTTCTCTTTCAGACAGGCTGAAAAAACTCATTGATGAACGAGAATCCTTACTAGACCAGGTAATCACAGGAAAACTGAAATGCTGTGTCTTTCCTAAATCTATGATAAGAATAGTATAGATTAAGAAAATCAAAATGGCCCTAACGTAAGTA